AAATATATGGCATAAAGATTGAATATTTCATTACAGATTGTATTTCTATGTGACACAACATCTAGGATTTCTCAATAGGGTGGGTTAAATCAAAATATATCAACCAAAATCAACCGTTGTTTAATTCAATTTTAGTTAACTAACAATGTCTCTTTAGACAATTGACTGATTAAGGCATAGAAGATCCTATTTGGGAAATTAATAAAAAAATTGCAAATTTATTTATGAACAATTCACCACTCAGTACCCTATCTCTTCTTTTGACCAATTTACTAATCCTATTTGAGAATCTACCAGTGGAAGTGTGAGGTAGTTCATGGCAAGCCCCTTCCAACACTATGGAATTCACTCAAAAGCATGCTTTTTTTTAAGTATTTTAATTTTCAAGAAGTAACTTTAGAGCTTTACCCTATCTTAACTACTTTTACTTCTCCAAATACTTCTCACCAAACCTTTTACCCACCCCCAATAACTCAGTTTGGGTGACATTGCCGGCATCAATGGACTTGCCATTGGATTCCATTTGGCTCTTGATTGGTTCTATTCTTTTGGAGCTCGATGACGAGAGGAGCCAAATTCATCGTGAATAATGTTCTTAACCACGCCCTCAATATCTTCCTTAATTATAACATTATATATAGTGACGACCCCGCTAGTCACGGCAATCATTCGCACATTTGTGCATTGAATATCTTGTCTTCTCTGCAGTCACTTCCTCCTTCACCTTCCGGAGAAGTGTAACAGACTTCTTCAACAGCAGAGCAAATCTTAACCACAAATATGAAACCCAGATGAACAAATAGTTAGCATGGAAAAATTGTGAAAGTAAATAAAACTTTTGTAGAATTAACCATGTAGTATTATCATGAAATAAATCAATTGAACCAGAATTTCACATTCAATAAACCATAAAACCTAACCCAAAGGATTGTGGCCAAGTGGTAGGTCCACACTGAACTTAATCAATGCATATCATTCTATTCTTTTGGAGTTCAGTAGAATTAACCTTCTAGTATTATCATGAAATAAATCAATTGAGCCAGAATTTGACATTCAATAAATTGAAAAACCTAAACCTAAATCTAAACCTAACCCAAAGGAATGTGGCCAAGTAGGTCCACACTTGGAAACTTCACACTTATCTCTCTGCAATCAAGGTGCAGCAAGCAATAAACCCATCACAAAAAATTACTCTATAAAGTATCATGTGGACATTACATATCAAGTTGGTTATTCTTGCAGGTTCTTCCGGACAAAGTGAAAAATGCAAAAAAAAAAACATACCTATTTTCTTTTTGCCCACTCCACCCATTCCCATCAACTCTCTTCTTTCAGAAAAAATACCTATATTATTAGGACAGAGAAAAAATTTTAAAAGCGTTAATAAACCTGTAAAACATATATTCTGAAATTAAAAACTAAACTTTCAAGTTTTTAATTTGCATTAATAAATTGTTCGAGTTTCACATCATAACAACATTATATATATGTATGTAGAAACAAAAACAAAAAAAAAAAATCAGTATATAAAACATGAATAAATAAACATAACCAATAGCTAAAAATGTCAATTAAAATTTTAGAAAAAGTTTGTTACCTGATGACTGAGGAGGCATGTTTCTTGAACCTTGTTATTGCTAAATGTTAAGGCCCGATGGTAACCCTAAAAATAAGAAAACACTCAAGTTGTGAGGAAAAGATTTCACAATCTCACTCATAACAATTAAAACACCACCATTTAAGTACTATCTGTATTATGTATCAACCCAACCCAACTATGCTTTCAGTCAAAATGTTGGACACCTATCTGTAGAAAGAGGTGTGATTACGGATAGGTGTGATTAGCACCTATTATACTCAGCTCTTATGTTAAATTAATCCAATCACAATGTACAATGCATCAGTCTAGTAATAATCTTCAAAATTAATAAATCAATATCATGATATTCTACATTCTAATAACAAAAGAAAATTAAAAACCAAAATTTGAAAATAAAAATATCTAAGAAAGATTGTATTTCTGTGTGAAACAAAACACCCAAGATTTCTCAATAGGGTGGGCTAAATCAAAATATATCAACCAAAATCAACGGTTGTTTAATTCAATTTTAGTTAACTAACCATGTTTCTTTAGACAATTAACTGATTAAGGCATAGAAATTCCTATTTGGGTAATTAATAAATATATAAAAAAAAATTACCAAGAACAATTCACCACTCAGTACCATATGTCTTCTTTTAACCAATTTACTAATCCTATTTAAGAGTGTGAGGTAGTTCATGGCAAGCCCCTTCCAAGACTATGGAATTCACCCAAAAGCTTTAATTTTCAAGAAGTAACTTTAGAGCTTTACCCTATATTAAGTACTTTTGCTTGTCTGTTATGATTTTTTTTTCCTTTCTAGTTTTGAAAAGATTTCCATCTTCAAAAAAGCTTGGCATGTTGATAAAAATTGTTTCAGATTCAATCTCCACAGATTTCTAATTCAATTCAGATTTTTTTTTTTTTTTCTTTTTTCAGGACCAGATTTTCTTGTAGACATAATTGACCAAAAAAAAAAAAAAAACAAACAGATATAGAAGTTATAGAAATAAAGAGATATATATATATTTGTTTTGCTGAAATAAAATGTAGATTACGGTTTGTTACTTTATATTGTAAAAAATATATATATATTTAAAAAAGATCATAAAAAATTTCACCAAATAGGATTTAGTTTGCAAAACAATAATTACAGATCTAGTTTAGTAGATTTAGAAAAAAAAAAAAAAAAACAAGTTAGCAGTTGCAGAGAGAGAGGGGGGCAAGCTTGAGAGTTGAGAGACAGCGGTTGAAGCTTGCGAACGGCGAACTCGAACTGGAACAGCGGGCGATGGAAACTGAAAGATATGGGTTTTGATTTTTTGAACAATCTGAAATCATATGCCGATATGGGTTTTGATATAGGTAATAGCTTGAGAGAGAGAGAGAGAGAGAGAGAGAGAGAGAGTGAAGTTCAGATCTGAGAACGAGAATAGAGATGAAGGCGATAGGGAAGGCTTAAATGATTTACCCTAAAAAATATTATGTTTTTTTGGTGACCCATCATCCATGGGCTTACAAATTTTGAGGCCCTAGGCGATTGCCTTTGTCGCCTTGGGTTGGACCGGCCCTGTATACAACTTGAGAATCCAATGACCTATATATCCTTTTTAAGGGTGGAGTTAGAGTGGAGTCTTGCTATGGACAATACAGTATACAACAAAATAGAGTTTATGTACCACCTGCACCATCAAAATGTTGTAAAAAAATAAAAGGAAAAAATAACAAATAAGCAAAAGGAAATCTCACATATTAAAGCAATTGTTTACGTACCAACTGCTCAATTATTATTATTATTTTTTAAAAGTTATACTCAACATTTTGTTAATTTATTAGTGAAAGGAAATGGAATATATGAAAGCAATATGTGAAATTCAATATAAAAGTATGAACAAAGTCTGCTAATATACTTTTCTGTTCCAATATTGCTCAAAACCTAATTAGTTCGGCAGAACTTCAAAGTTGGCCCGACTCAAAACTATAATATGCAAATTCTATGCATTAAATAAGATCTTCAAACCATTTCTCAAGTACTAAATGTGTTAGTGTTAATTATTACACAAAAGCCTTAGAGAATGGTTTAAAACCTTATTTAGCATATTAGCAAATATCATTTTTCAAGACTAAGAGTCGCATGTTTACATATTCGTCCATTAAAATCATTATTATGTGAATATATAACTCCAACTACACAATGAAGCATTAGGCCTAGTTTCATACTGAGAATTGAAATGGAATAGAATGGAAAAAGAAATGGAACGAAGTTGAGAATTGAAAAAAAAAGGGAACGAAATGGTCTCATTCTCTTGTTTGGATAAATAAAATAAAATGATGTAGAAACGAAATGAAAACATCATTCTAAGTAGTGGTGGTGGAGGCCACTGCAGTGGAAGTGGTGGAAGGCGTTCACGGCAGTACTAGCAACCAGCCGTGGTGGTAGTGGAAGGCCCGACGGTGGCGGTGGTGGAAAGCAATTGTATGTTGGTGGTGATGGCGAAAGGCGGTGGTAGCGGCGCAAGGGGAGGTAGTTTTTGGACTTGGAATGTGATGGCTTTTTGGAAATTTAACTTTTAATTTATTTATTTACTTGGGAATGGAATTGGTTCCATTCAAGTCTCCACATGACTTTATGGAAATTTATTTATTTCTTTTCCTCTAAGTTTTACTTGAGAATGGAATGACCATTTCATTGGCTTAGATGTAAGGAATGAAATTTTCATTTCAAAGAGAATAATCATCATTCTCACTTTAAATTTTAAACCCAATAAAAGAATAGTTGAAATAGACATTCCATTCTATACCAAACTACTCATAAAAGTAGTTGAAGAGGTATAACTTAAAACTCCATTATAATTGTATCAATTACTACTACCATCTTTACACTTTTTTTATTTTATTTTTTTAAGATTTAACCAAACACACGGTGTACAAGGTGAAGGGAAGAGCCACAGCATCGTCCAACATGAAGAACAACTCAAACTAAAATGAAAACAATATGAGAACACAACAATTGGATCATCTTCAAATTAATTAATTGCATACATTCCACCTCACGGAAGAATCTGGCACAAATGCATAATTATATGCGACAGATTTTCATTAATTCCTTAAAATGAATTTTCATTTTTTCGGTTCAGATTTTTAATGAATTTTCATTCTAAAGGAATAATTATTCCCACTTTAAATATCAAGATTAAGAGTTGTTGAAGAGTTTGTAACTTAAAATTCCATTATAAGTATATCAATTACCAACGTATGCATTTGTTTTTAATCAAGCTTTGATTTAACTAAAAAAAAAAAAAAAAAAAAGGTGTACAATGTTATGGGAACAACATCATCTTCCAACATTAACTCCAACTAAAAGGGAAAAAATATATATATATATATATACAAGTGGATAGAGAGCAGAATACTTGGATCACCTTCCAATTAATTCTATAAATTCCTCTTCGTGGAAGAACATAATGCATAATAAATATAATCAAGCACAAGAGAAAATATATAATACCTTGAATACTCGACACATGGTATCCTTCCAAGAGTTTTCATTTGAAAGGGAGTATACGTGTCAAAATATTCTGATGCTATTGCATACTTTAACCATTACAAGGCCGCATTATAGTGATGAACAAATTCTAACAGTTTTATCATTTAAGGATGTGGAAACCATTGCTAGCAGCTCTTTGTCAGCTTCAAATTTGGCCATGTCCTCCTCTTTCAAGTTTACCCATGCTTCTATACCATCACCCAATCTCGTGTCCACGAAACAAACCAAATTCTTGTATTTAAAGCTAGCAAAGCCAACCAGTATCGGCTTTCCCCACCCGAAATCTGCTTCATACGTAGGAAACCCGCACAAACTAGTGATGCTAAACGAAACAATCTCCCCACTGTTGAACTTCTCCGCTCGGTCTTTGAGGTAGTCCAAGTGCTTGTCACCCTCCCGGAGTTTCGCCACGTAATCCCCATTGATTTTCTTTAGAGAATCTCTCATCAAATTCACTATGCCTGCATCCTCAGTACCGTCCATGGACGACGGTACTGCATTTGTGTGCCGGCAAATATTCCCAAAGTAGTTCTCTGGCAATGGTGGATCAATCCTCGGACGTAGGTTCACCGCGTGTTGCACCATGTAGGTCTTGTCATGACCGGTTTTGGGTTGAGTGGAGGCCATGAAACGGCTCCAGATGAAGGCAGATAGAGCCACAGTTCGCGTTGGGCGTGTAGGGTGGTAGTCTTTGCTTGTGTATCTCTCTTTAAGGGCATCTATCTTAGAGGCAGAGAACACAAACCTTTTTGCCACTACCTTCTCCTTCACAATGCCGGAGGTAGTTTTGAAGCCCATTATGTTCCTAGGTGGGAAGAGCACGGCGGAGTCAAACGGTGGACACGGTGGTAAGTCCCTATCACCACGTTCAATGGCGGACCAGCTATTGAGAAAGATGAATGAGGACAAAGCATCAGCAACCTTGTGAGAAATGCCTAGAGAAATTGCGATGCCACCACAAGTGAACATGGTGACTTGAATGACCATGGGGAGGTCCCTAGTGTCGTCCAATTCATATGGGATGAAGTTGTGGAACTCGCCCGGGCTTGGATCCCGGACGACTTCAGAAAGCCGGCAGGCAGCTCTGGCTTCCACATAGGGGACACCGGCATCATTGCAGTCGACATAGAGGTTGTCGATGACCCGGCCGGCTAGGAAATAGAATCGGGTTAAGGCCTCCGAGAAGGAGTTCTTGAGCTGGTTGGACTTGTCTATGGCCGCCGCCGGGTAGAAGAGAAGTAGAGGTGAAAACACAGGGGGAGCTATTTGATCGAGGAATGAGAGTTGGTAATGGCGGAGGTGATTAGGGGTTGGAGAAGATGGCTTGACGGTCTCTGAGGAGACAACTTCAACTTCAATCTTCATTCTGATCTAAGAGTATATACTTAGCACAAAATTAATTTCCAAACCACCCACAATAATTGTGTATCTAATATGTGATTCTCAAGGTAATACTGCACACTAGATGGTAGAGAGTGTGACTTAAATAGAGCTGCGAAAGTCAAGACATTGAGTTGAAAAAGCTTGCAAAAAGAACTATATGAAGAAAAAAAATAATAATAAACCTGCAAAAAGAATATATGTGAAAGATATAATTCCTTAAAAATAGAACTTTGGGGTGAAAGACAAAAGAATGGAGCCAAAATTTAAAATTTAAAATTAATAGAATTTTCTCAAAATAGACATGAAAATTTATTATACATTATCTTTTTATTCTTAAAATACTCTTCTATTATTGTTATGAAATTATGTTGCTACCCTTCATATCTAGAGAGAAAAACACATCTATGACAACCATTGTTCCCAAATGCACAACCAACAAACCTGATAAATTCATCCAAAACTTCTGATCATTTGCACTTTTCTAATGATTAAATGGATTTGCTGTTTTTTTTTTTTTTTTTTTTTAAATAGGTTTGCTGGCTAGGTAGAAGAAAGAGAGAGATGGCCAATCAAAAAGAAAGAATTGTTTTTGCCATTGCAGATGAACATATTCAGAAGGGGCTGGCTTGGGGGTGTGAGAGAGATTGATGATGAAATGGGTTTGCTTTTTTTTTAAAAAAAATGGGTTTGCTCTGGAGTAGGTCTACAGCAGCTTGTGAAACAATTGAGACTTCTAGTCTTGTGGGCCTTTGGTCACCTCCATGCCATGTAAGAACCCATTAAAAGTATTCCACTACATTGGAAAGAGGGCCTTTCACTCAAAGAAAAGAAAAATGCTCGAGCAATCAAGCACAGGCGTTAAATGCAAAGACAGAAAGAGATCAATAACAACAATATAAAGGTATTTTGGAAATAAAACAATGATGCATAGTAAACTTTCATGTCCACTTCAGACTATGAAAAGATTCCATTAATTTGAAAAACTTAATTTTGACCCATTCTTTTGTCCTTTGACCCACAAAATTTCATTTTTATAAAATTACCCCATTTTGAAGCATGAGGCCACTTGGAAATATTCCATTCCTATAAATAACAAGGCATATACTGTTAAATTTAATAAACTCCGATGCGTCTTTACATGCAGTATTATATATCTACTGCCACAAAACCCTTGAACGCATACGCCATAAAATAACATTATTTTTATCAATGACAGATGATTAAACTAATATGCACATAGCTGTCTCCTTGAGGTACATGCTAACTTGGGATAGAGATGGAAAAGTGGATCTACTTGATGATCAAAATTATCAGATGCAACTAGAATTCTCATATATTCACGTGATGGAAATAACGATATTAGTAACATCCATCCATTTGTTGCGTTAATGCATTTGCTGTCATTGATGTGTAGTGCTCCCTTTCTAATTACGTCTGAGATTCGATATGGACCTTCCTAGTTGGTTCCAATTTGCTGACATACTTGCATAAACAATTTATTGTAGAAATATAGAGCCGGGGAATGCCTGCCCTATATGATGATATTATGCTAGCAGCTGGCATTATCCGGATTATGGTTATTGTCATGGTGAATAATTGAATCTATGTGTTGGATATGTAGACTAATGGAATTTGGATTCTTTTTGGACGTTATTACAATGAACTTACTTGATTGAGAGAGGGAGGGAGAGACAGAGAGAGAGAACATCAATATTGAGACGTGTACTGGTTATGTGTTTGACTTATTTTCTAGACGTTGTTACATGAGACTTTGATTTGTTTGGGTGTATATAATTTATAGTTATATGTGTCTGTCTTTTGGTCCCTTCTTGTATCTGTTCTCTGTATTATTATTATTTCATGGAAACTGGAAAGTCTCACTCCCTCAATCAGAACATCGCATGGGCACGTGATGTGGGAGCGTGGGACCATGTGAGCAATGCTGGAAAGGAAGGCTGGCTGTGTGTGAGTGTGAGTGTGAGTGTGATTGTGTGTGTGTGTGAGAGAGAGAGAGAGAGTCCCATCCCCTTGCCTCTAACTAATGATCGGGAACGAAACAAAAATTAGGGTTCAACTCTCGGAGAAATTATTAAATAACTTTTTTTTTTTTTTGCATCTAACTAATGATCGTGAACGAAACAAAAATTAGGGTTCAACACTCGGAGAAATTATTAAATAATTTTTTTAAAAAAAAAAAGATGGTGAAAAAGAAAGTATGACTATCATCAGTCGTCATCACTAGAGTCAACGTTGACATCATCAATATCCTCAAACATTGACATTAACATCCTCATCTAGAATTATTCATCTAGAATCACATAATCCTCTTGCATACATATACATTTGATTAAGGTAAACTAAAAAGAGACTTCGTATCACAATGGGGCATTTTAAAACCAACATCACTACCACAACAGTAAGGAGATTTATATAATTCAATTAGTTAGGTAAAAAAACATACCTTTTTTTTCTTTTTGCCGACTCCACCCATTCCCATCAACTCTCTTCTTTCAAAAAAGATACCTATATTATTAGGACAAAAGAGGAAAAGTTTAAAAGCGTTAATAATCTTATAAAACATATATTCTAAAATTGAAAACTAAACTTCCAAGTCTTTAATCCTTGTTCAAGCATCACATCATAACAATATAATATATATGTATGTAGAAACAAAAACAAAAACAAAAAATCAGTATGTAAAATATGAATAAATAAACGTAACCAATAGCTAAAAATACTAATTAAAATTTTAGAAAAAGTAAGAGTTTGTTACCTGATGACTGAGGAGGCATGTTTCTTGAACCTTGTTATCGCTAAAAGTTAAGGCCCGATGCTAATCCTAAAAATAAGAAAACACTCCAGTTGTGAGGAAGAGGTTTCACAATCTCACTCATAACAATTAAAACACCACCATCTAAGTACTATCTGTATCATGTATCAACCCAACCCAACTATACTTTCAGTCAAAATGTTGGACACCTATCCGTAGAAAGAGAGGTGATTACAAATAGGTGTGATTAACACATATTATATTCAGCTCTTATGTTAAATTAATCCAATAACAAAGTACAATGCATCAGTTTAGGAATAATCTTCAAAATTAACAAATCAATATCATGATATTCTATATTCTAATAACAAAAGAAAATCAAAAACCAAAATTTGAAAATAAAAATATAGCAGAAAGATTGAATATATCGTTCGTGCATTACACAGATTGTATTTCTATGTGGAACAAAACATCTAAGATTTCTCAATGGAGTGGGCTAAATCAAAATATATCAACCAAAATCATTTGTTGTTTCATTCAATTATAGTCAACTAACAATGTTTTTTAAGACAATTGACTAATTAAGGCATAGAAAATCCTATTTGGATAATTAATAAAAAAAATTACCAATTTATTTCTGAACAATTCACCACTCAGTACCTTATCTCTTCTTTTGACCAATTTACTAATCCTATTTGAGAATCTACTAGTGGAAGCAGAGTGTGAGGAAGTTCGCGGCAAGCCCCTTCCAAAACTATGTAATTCACTCAAAAGCATGCTTTTTGTAAGTAATTTAATTTTGAAGAAGTAATTTAGAGCTTTACCCTATATTAACTACTTTTGCTTGTCAAAGTTCCTGTTATGATTTTTTTTTTTTTTTTTGTTTCTTCTAGTTCTGAAAAGATTTCCATCTTCAAAAAGCTTGACATGTTGATAAAAATTGTTTCAGATTCAATCTCTGCAGATTTCTAATCCAATTCAGATTTTTTTTTCTTTTTTTTTTCTTTTTTCACGACCAGATTCAAATTTTCTTGTAGACATAATTGACAAAAAAAAAAAAAAAAAAGAAGTTATAGAAATAAAAATATATATATATATTTGTTTTGCTGAAATAAAATGTAGATTACGGTGATTACCTCAAAATGCAATGCAAATTTTGTTACTTTAAAAAAAAAAAATTTATTTAAAAAAGATAATAAAAAATTTCACCAAATAGGATTTAGTTTGCAAAACAATAATTACAGATCTAGATTAGTAGATTTAGAAAAAAAAAAAATTTAAAACAAAACCATACATATAATTAAGTTAGCAGTTGCAGAGACAGAGAGGGGGGCAAGCTTGAGAGTTGAGAGGGGGGCAAGCTTGAGAGTTGAGAGACAGCGGTTGAAGCTTGCGAACCCGAACTGGATCAGCGGGCGATGGAAATTGAAAGATATGGGTTTTGATTTTTTGAACAATCTAAAATCATATGCCGATATGGGTGTACAAGGTGAAGGGAAGAACCACAGCATCGTCCAACATGAACAACAACTCAAACTAAAATGAAAATAATATGAGAACACAACAATTGGATCATCTTCAAATTAATTAATTGCATACATTCCACCTCACGGAAGAATCTGGCACAAATGCATAATTATATGCGACAGATTTTCATTAATTCCTTAAAATGAATTTTCATTTTTTCGGTTCAGATTTTTAATGAATTTTCATTTTAAAGGAATAATTATTCCCACTTTAAATATCAAGATTAAGAGTTGTTGAAGAGTTTGTAACTTAATATTCCATTATAAGTATATCAATTACCAACGTATGCGTTTGTTTTTAATCAAGCTTTGATTTAACTAAAAAAAAAAAAGGTGTACAATGTTAAGGGAACAACATCATCTTCCAACATTAACTCCAACTAAAAGGGAAAAATATATATATATATACAAGTGGATAGAGAGCAGAATACCTGGATCACCTTCCAATTAATTCTATAAATTCCTCTTCGTGGAAGAACATAATGCATAATAAATATAATCAAGCACAAGAGAAAATATATAATATCTTGAATACTCGACACATGGTATATCCTTCCAAGAGTTTTCATTTGAAAGGGAGTATACGTGTCAAAATATTCTGATGCTACTGTATACTTTAACCATTACAAGGCCGCATTAAAGTGATGAATAAATTCTAACAGTTTTCTCATTTAAGGATGTGGAATCCATTGCTAGCAGCTCTTTGTGAGCTTCAAATTTGGCCAGGGACGGAGCCAATGAAAGTCCAGGGGGACACGTGCCCCCTGAGTTAATCAGCAATCTATAATATATTTGGTAATTTTTACAAAAAAAATTATATGTATGAAAAAATTTATATAGTGCCTCCCTCAAATTTGTAGTTCTTAAAATTATATTCTTATTTTTTCTTTTATTCTTCACATTCCTTAAATTTTCTTAGTAGAAAAAGTCAAATTTTTCTTTCTCAATTGAAACTTTTTAACTATTTCCTATTAAAGTTCTTTCATTTTTATTTCCTTTTATATTTTAATAATTTTCTTCTTCTTTGTCTTTTTGAATTTTATAGTTGTTATATATATATATATGTGTACTCCGTATTGCTTTTTTTTATTTTTTCTTGTTTGGCAGTGTGCATCCCCCTCACTTGAAATCCTGGCTCGTCACTGCCATGTCCTCTTCTTTCAAGTTAACCCATGCTTCTATGCTATCACCCAATCTCGTGTCCACGAAACAAACCAAATTCTTGTATTTAAAGCTAGGAAAGCCAACCAGATCACGTCTTTACATGGAGTATTATTTATCTACTGCCACAACACCCCTGAGCACATGCTCCATAACATTATTTTTATCAATGACAGATCAGGGGATGATTAAAGTAATATGCACACAGTAGTTGCATCTAATCATTTTATTATTAATCTCAGTCGATTAGGTTAAGAACAATTCAAACCCTACAATTCATTCAATTCACGAGTCTGTATTATAAAATACTTTAAGTCTGTCTCTACGTCCCTGTCCGTCTTCAACCTTCATCTGTTTGTTTTTTTTTTGTTTTTTTTTTTTTTTTCATTTTCATTTTAAGGTTATATTAAGCATTTTAAAAATAAGGGTGTATCATGGATTTGTTACTCTGTTATAATCTAGCTTGAAAAAAAGAAACAATTTGACTTTTAAAGTTTAAACTGCATTTTCTATTTCTACAATGATAAATTACTTGGTTCATTACATGTTAATGTCATATCACAGTTCACAGATAATTCATCACCCAATCAAACAGAGATGAAGAACTAAAATAAAAAAAAATAAAAAATAAAGGAGAAATGGCACAAGATGACTTGGTTCATTACATTCCTTGCAATGGTGTTTTCTATATAAATCTCAGTCATATCACAGAAAAGAAAAATGGTTCTCTTCAATTCTCCAAACAAAAAAATAAATAAATAATCTCCACATGATCTTACAAAAATAGAATAAAATACGCCAGTGTGAAGGGGCCGATAGTCAACCTAATTTGGGCAGTCGTGCATCTAAATAAATAATCTCCACATGATCTTACAAAAATAGAATAAATAACTAAAGATCCAGATCGGAAAAATTATTAAATAGTGTAAACCAATGACACTTGATGACTTAGTTCAATCGAATTCTGTATTGAGAAAAGCGGATCACAAGAGTATAATAATAATAATAATAATAATAATAATATATTACAAAGAATGGTAATGTAGGCGTTATTCTGGATTCAATCATCTTCAGTTTCTCATCTCTTACTCCATTCATATACGATTATTAAAGGTACACTATATCACAATGCAACACGATACATATATACAATAATAATAATAATATATTAAAATTCGACACCTTTATGCAGTCGGTTGTACCGATTTAAACACAATCGATGACACAAACATTTGCAAAGAAAAGGATCTTTATATATTTTTGTTTAAAAAAACAAAAACTTGCAAAAAGGAGAGTACAACTTGCATATGTGAGACTTTGTTTCCAAATTTTTCCAGAGATTTATATATATATATATATATATGCACGAATTGAATCCTCACAGTTGTTATTACTGCCACCACACCCATAAACACACACCATACAATTCATGAGTCTGTATTATAAATACGAAAACTGGTATGGAAAATGACTCCCATCTCCATTTCCAAGTCTTGTATGTTAGATGACTCCATGTCCAAGTCTTGAAAAGGAAACAATTTTGACTTTTAAAATGAATTTTCTATTCCTACAGTTCATTACCCAATCAAACAGATATGGAAGAAAAAAAAGGGATGACATAAAACGACAAAAACATGTTTTAAGATACTAAAATTAGACGGTGTGAGTATTATTCAGTGACCTAATCGGTAGAACTCTCAACTCTCTGAACGAGTGTATCCGTTTTCTCATTCCCCTTCTCCTAGTTTGTCAGGAAAAAAATAATAAATTTTAATTTTAATTTTTAAAAAAATAAAAAAAGATGGTGAAAAAGAAAGTATGACTATCAATTGCTCCAAGAAGTGAACTCATGAAGATTAAAGCCAATAATGCACACAAAGCTCACATCTAACACACTTGAACTCCTCCCGAAACTGCAACTCTAATAGTATTCATACTAGACTAGCAATTGCCCAAAAGCTTTATTTTTTTAAGGAACCAACCCAATCGTGTGTATCAAGCTCTCACAATAAAGATACTCTGTAGTAGACCCAAAAATTATTTTGGAATAACAGGATTAACACAATAAAATATCACTACCTCCAGCTCAGTCAACTGACCGCAACACCCAAAACCTAAACCGGCACAAGAATTCGTCACAGTGCACAATTCTACGAAGGAAATATTTCATGAATATATAGCAACAAGTATAAATTTTATGGTGAACACAGCAAGACAAAAAAAAAAAATCAAGATTTGAGATGTACAAAAATGAAAAACTCATTGTGATGCGTACGAATGTTGCTTACCTTAAATATGAAATAATAACAACAATAAAAAATAGAAATGGAAAAACTCACCTTAAGCTTCAGCCTTGTGGCATGGGTTGTGAAGTTTTATTAAGTGACTGTAGCACAGGACAAACGTCTATTGGTGCAGAAAGCATAGCAAAGAAGGAAAAAAAATTAAAAAGTTAGAAGATTGTGAATCTTAGAAATCCCAACCACAAACAATCTACACCATATGCCAAAAAAAAAAAAAAAAAACAATGAAAAATAATTATCTGAGCTAGGAAATCTCAATGTAAACAAAAAAGGTAATTATCCATTCAGAGATAAGCTTTTACCTTATTTTGCAGATTCTGCTCTGATACTTGAACCCACATCCTCACACTTTAAGCATTCGCTTTTTACCATTGCCTCAAGAACTGTTCCCTAACATTCTGTAAAAATTATCCAATAGAGTATTAAGATATTAAGAAAAAAATCGTAAAATCTATTCATCCAAAATTTTCCTTATCTTTTACGTAATCAAATCTGGTGCAGATTCCTTGCTTATTGGATCCCTAAACTTTAGTTACAATCTATGCGTCCTCACGGAGGGCAGCTGAAGAGAACATCGCATTCAGATTCACACTTTATCAACACAGTAGAGTATTTCATTTGCTGCCTCTGATGAGAAATTTAATTAGAATACTTACCACAGGAATACTGGCATTCAAAGAAAGAACAGAAAGTCAGGATCAGCTAATGGAAAATATTGTTATACCTAAGTGCATAAAATACAGCACATGCAGCAGAGAGGCAACAATTTGGAACTTGTATTTATTGAATTTGGAATAGTTTATTTCAGGTCTACAAGTCCTTATTACCAAAAAGCTTAGAAAAATATAAGACAATAACAATGATGCCTAAAAGAGGAAGTAATTCCTGGAAAGAGGAACCGTGGTAGCTGCAGCGCAGGTAAGAACCTCATCATCAGCTGTCACTGTGTATGTCTCTGGGTCAACCTTGATGTTCGGAAGTGCATCATTGAGCTTCATGTCAAGTTTGGTGAGGCTCCTCACATTGCCCACGGATTCCACTCTCTTACTGAGTCCATACAAAGCTTTTATTCCACATTTTACAGCCTCCTGTTTGCAAGGATAAATTAAAACAAAGTAAAAGAAAACTGATTAAGAATCACACAAGAGCACACAAACACACACACAAATAGAGAGAGTCCATGCCTTGCTGACAAAAGCAATGGAATTAGCACTTCCAGCCTTGCCAAATGCTCCAAACATGGGCCTCATAATCACCTGCAACAACTTGTGCTTCAATAAAAACTGAACCAAATACACCAATTTGTCAAGAGAATCTAGTGCAGGAAGCCCATGAAATGAAACTCCAATACAATAAAATAGGGGGAAATTACAATTACTGTTCAAACCTAAAAACAATTGTTTTTCAATGACTACTGGTCACTAAAAACAATAGCTATTTTACAATGACCAACGATTAAAGTAACGCAATTGTTTCTATGTTAGTTAGTCATTGAATCCCAATTTTGCCATAATCTAGTTTTTAACTATCCAAAGTTTTGATTTCTTTCTGGACAATTCAAAATCAATTTCTATTTATATAAAGAATGAGAAAGATTTATGCATAATGATCCAGCAAGAGAAACAGCTTGAAAGCAAAACTGCTTTTGAGTTTGAAGTCACAATGGGGAGCACCATTGGCTCACACTTCAAAAGCCATGATCGGGGAGCAGACTAATAAGATTCTAAAACAGTGATAGTAACTCAAGATTCTTAATTTGCATTTTGCAGTGGCAATATTCTGTTCGAGTCAGTAGTAAATGCTCAAACTAATAAAAACATGAGAACGTGGTTTCAAATCCTAGGAACAGCCAATTTGTGCAATTAATGCCAAATGTTAAGTATGTATCCAGTCTACCCCCAACACTCTCAATTAAGTGGGGCCACAGTACGTAATAATTCTCAGTCAGTGTGACTATATAGTGTCAAATGATACCAAACACCTTATCACCATTAAACCCTGTCAATCAGCTGACAAGCATGCTTGTATAGATAAAAAATGCAATCCTTTACCGGTTCAGGAGTAGGAATGCTCGCATTTGGATCGCCCATGTTAGCCCATGCAATATCCCCACCTTTGATTACCATTTCAGGTTTTGCCCCAAAGAAAGATGGTTTCCAAAGAACAAGGTCAGCCAACTTCCCCGCCTGCAGCAAATGCATACTCCTACTTAATTTTGAGATACATATATATTCATAAGCAATTAATTTTGATATTACTGAATTGAAACTTCGCAAGTTTGTTTAAACTTGTACTCAACAAGTCAAGACAGTATATAGTTGACTAGAATAGTGATAACAAATAATCAATTAAATACAATTCAAAATCAATAGGAGCCATCACTTGGTGCAATGGTAAAAGCTCAGGTTGACAACCGCAAGGATGAGGGTTTGAGTCTAACATTATTCACTTTGTGCAAGTCTTTTCTACTCCAAATCACAAAATATATATATATATATATATATATATATATATATATTAAGAATATTTAGAATTAAAGTTTAAAAGGAGTATATATAAGACAGAAAACAAATATTGTCGCCCCTATTACTTTCTTAAAGAAGTGAAAAATCATGGTGTGCACTTCTCACTTGAGATTGCTAAACATTGACAAGTAACTGGATGCTTGTAGAGCAAATATGTCAATCAACTTGATTTGTACTACCATGTTTAGTTTATCTATTTGGGTGTGTGGGTTGGTGGAGGGGTGCATGTCTTGCACAGTGTCATGCATATTTTGACAAAGATATATGATCCTGGGTCAAATGTCAATGACCATCATTTGAAGCTTTCCATCTACAACTACTCCAATGCCAAAAATTGATATCATTGGATAACTGATCACTGATGACTGCAACTATACATGATAGATCCAATTCCTTCAGACATTATAGCAGAAAGTTGCCAAATGTTTGGAGTGGAAATAAGTGAGGATAAAAATGCAAACAGGTTGATTTCTAGTCATAAAATGAATAAGATCAAAAGAACATCAAAACTAGCATACCTCAACTGACCCAACATATTGCGAAAAACCATTAGCTATTGCAGGATTTATAGTGTATTTTGCAATATATCGTTTGATCCGGAGGTTGTCATTGTCGGATCCCCTCAATAACTTCATCTTGTGCGCTGTTTGCCAAGTTCTGCTAATCACCTAGTAAGAAAAGTATGCCTGAATTATGACTCAAAATCTGAAGTATGAACAAACAAAAAATGCCTTTCGGAATAAAAGGTTAATAGATCAGTCTACAGTCTGGAAAGGCTAATATTTCATCAATCCACCACAATTATGAAAAAGCTGTCACTATTACCAATGCTGCATTGGCTGCAATTAGGGAAAGTGCTTTTGCAAACACTAGTACTTGCTTCTTCCATGGTTGCACAATGTGACAGCCTAATAGCAGTTCATTGCCTTTGCAACAGCCAATGCAGCTTTGGCAATGGGGACACCCTTAGGAAAAAGCATAGTGAAATGGTCTTTCAGACTGCAAATGTTATTGTATTCGGTTTAACCAAGGAATTAAAACTTGGCATGACTCAGCAACGATCACAACCGACTCAACATGAGATCATTTTGAGACAGAATTATAACCAACTCAGAGTGACTCGGCCATAACCGCAATGGACCGTTACAACCACAACAGTGATTTTCTCAACCTTCAATCTGCATCTAAACATCAAACAACTTAAATCTACACATAACCAAAATGAAAGAAATGAATCAATGCTACTTGAGGAGACTAATTATGATATTGACTGCAATGTAGATGCTATATAAAATAACTAATGACAGGAGAAGAAAGAGGCATGATCGCCATTAACCAGCGTATTTTTCAGGAAGAGGCAGCCAAGAAAAATGTAGGATGCTGCATTCTTTTCACTTCTGGCACCTATTACAATTTTCTCAAAAGCATCTCAATCTTCTTGACTATAAACATAATAGTGAAGTTAGCTTTTTAAAACCATTTCAGTGGTCTATTCTCCTCAATGCCAAAAAAAGATTTAAAATATGTAATTTAATCAATCACATACTTTGAAACCATAACATGGTCATAAGCAAGTCACCACATGGTCATCATATGCCCATGATCGTATATTTGACTATGAGTATTTTCAAATGGGAGTTCCAACATGAAATTGGAAGGAGCAACCAAGCAAAAGCATATTAAATTCATGACCAAGTAGCCAGAAAATAAGATTACCAATCTAGAAGATAATGAAAAAATTATGAGTTGATTTAGAAACCTCTCCAATGCGACCCATAGCTTGTGAATCGGAAGCGATAATGCTAATTGCCCCCATATCATGCAAAATATCTTCTGCAGCAATTGTTTCAGCCCGAATCCGTGATTCAGCAAAAGCTACATCCTCTGGAATGTCCTTATCAAGATGATGGCAGACCATCTGTATGTATTCAAATCGATTAAAAGCGGTCCACTAAAAATACAATATCGTTACTTGTAATATCTTCTCATACCAGCATGTCAAGGTGCTCATCTATGGTATTTGAAGTGAACGGGCGTGTTGGATTTGTTGATGAGGGCAGAACATTTTTTACACCACAAACTTTGATTATATCTGGAGCATGGCCACCACCTGCACCTTCACTGAATAAAAGGATAAACAAGACATACACATCAATAAGTTGCATGATTTGACCCAAAAAAAACCCTGTAATAACTTAACCTGGCTTGACCAACAGAAAATTGTAAACTAAACAATGTAAATTTGACAGCTTAGATTCTATAAAAATAATAGGCACCAAGAAGAAAGTAAGAGGACTAAGAAACAGTACGCAAAATGAGCGTACTGCAAAAAGACCAACATTCCGTACTGCAGTCAAACATAAGCCGACAATTTCATGCAACCAACGTAAAGTTACAACAAAGTCTACAGTCAGAGGAGGGCAATGATTAAGACTGAAGCAACAATGAGGCAAACCAAATCAAAGACCACAAGAAGCTGCAACTAAGGTTGCTAACAACAAAGGAGCTACCGTGACAGTAATTCCCTCTATTTTATGTTAGGAGAAGAGCAAAGGGAGATAGTCCACGTGCGCTCCAGCAGTGAACCACACACTCCACATAGGTATCACATGATCAGGGACTACTTTTGTGGGGTTTGGTCCACATGGCTCTGATTTTTAGTTGGGGAAATTAAAAGTAATGGAGAGTTTGAGACACCTTTCTTTCACAAAAATCACAACAGACATTTATTGAGACCAAAACAGCCGCATGGTAAAAGGGCATCTGATCATGTGATCAAGAATAGTACAAGGAGAAGGTGCTTCAAAGCCGCAAATAGTGTTGGCCATAAACAACCAGAATGATGCCTAACACAAAGATAGTGCACATCTTACCCTTCGGTGGCCATACATGGTATTACCAAATGGAGAAAGGTTTGTACAGAACAAGGTAACTTCCTCAGAGTCTAAAGAGTCTATCTTCACAAAGGGAGCAAGGTTTACTAAGGTTGTGCCACTTAAGCCATTATAGGTAGCAGAAAAACCAACAAAGAAAGGGAACTTCCACACTTCAAAGATTATAACTCAGAACAGAAGTATCAGAACATAAAACAAAAGCTTTTGCTCAGTTGGAAAAGATTTCCATCATAAGGCATCTATTAAGTCTCCTCAAAGATGTTATTGACATTAAAGGCTATAAAAATTAGCTCTGTATAAGTTATCATATATTTTAATCTAAGAAAAAGGAATTCCTCATTCTCACTCAAAATTTTGCTCCTAAAGACATCAAAGAAGAGTGAAACCAAAATTACAATCTCAACAAGACAAAAGTAGTATTCTCAAATTACCCAAAAACAATGATAATCTCCTGATCAAGAAAGGTTAATTTTGAGAAATCAATATAAAATGTATCACTTTGGGATAATTAAGATCTACGCAAAAGTACCTACAAGCATATTAATATGAAAACAACGAAGATTGAGAAATGGTAATTCTTTTTCCTTTTCCTTTTCCTTTTCCTTTTTCTTTTCTTTTTGGGGAGGAGGTTTGTGGAATGCAGCTTATAATACCTGTGGTAAGTGTGAATAGTTCTCTCTTTAAATGCAGCAATTGTGTGTTCCACAAATCCAGATTCATTCAAGGTGTCTGTGTGAATATTAACCTGTCAATTCATGGAATCAATAAAGGAAAACTGATAAATGTGAAATAAAAATTAACCCTGCTCTAGTATCAAACTCTCTTTCCTAAAAACAAAACAAAGTAACCTGAATATCATACTGATCCGCAACAGTCAAACAATTGTCTATGGTGGCAGGAGTAGTTCCCCAGTCCTCATGAAGCTTGAGGCCCATCGCTCCAGCCCTGATTATTTCATGTAGCCCTTCTGGTTTTGCACTATTCCCCTAAAAACACACAAGTTTTAAACAGCGCATGTAATTGCACATGCAGATATTTTAAATATCTAGCCACTTTATAAAGGTCCTCAAAGAGTGTGTTTGTGCGTGAATAAGCTTGTTGAAACAGTCAAAACCAATCAAAAATAGGTGCAAGATCAAAGAAGTGGAGTAAACCAGAATTGTATTGCAGTACTAAAATTAAATACAACTCTACATAGTAAAAAACCACACAATATGGAGGTCTCTGCTGATTATATTACTCACAAAATTAAAGAAAAATACAAATCCACCCATAGTTATAACACGTATATACACTAACACTCCCTCTCAAACTCATGATGGGAGAAACATTGAGGAGTTTGCCTAGTAAGAACTGAAACCGAGTGATAGTATGACTGCTTGGAAATAATTCATCCGCCTAAGACTAGGAGGAAATATGTAGAAGAGAAATAGTGCCATACTGAAGACTGAAGATACACTAGCCAATGAGATGAAGAAACTGCAACTGAATGCATCAGCAAAAACTGAAACTGTAATAAACCAATATCGATATCCAAAGATGAAGAAGAACTGGAAAATGTGAAGTCAGAGGAAAAGGCCAAAGCAGACAAAGAGCTTGAGTTAGGGCTAGGGTTTTCTTAGAGAAAAGCTGAAGCAGATGAAGAGTTCAATTGATCATTTCTTCTTCCCTCTTCAGCGTCAATTCAGATGCGTAAAACCTACTTTGATACCATCAAAACAGTGCAAAGCCAATTGAAAATAAGTGCAAAATCATAGAATAAGTGAAGAAGAAAACTAAACTGTATTGCAGTACAACTGGATACAACTCCACACGGTGAAAACCACACACTATTATATAATACACAATAAAAATAAAAATAAAAATAAACTGTAAATTCACAAAGAATACATACTTTTCCTGTGAAACCAAAATTAAGTGGCAGGTCATCAGTGGATTGCAGCATTAATTTCATGTGATTTGGTGCTGGCGTACAGGTAGTTGCACGTGTCCCATAAGCAGGTCCTGTTCCACCTCCCACTAATGTTGTGATGCCTGCATATGTGGTAAGAGTTTAGGGAAAATGAACTCAAAAAACATTCTAGAAAAACATATAATTTAAATTTTCCCCTCAACTTGGGATCGAATACTTGAATTTTAATTCATGGACCACTAAATTTTTATCTGGAGTGAAAATAAACAAAAATATACAAAGCTCTGGATAAAAATAAGTGAGCTTCCCTTAATTGCCTTTTGTGCGGTTTGTGAAATTTGTTGCGTGCATTTTGTGAAATTTGTTACTTGGACTCACAATTACAGTCTTGAAGTTTCTTAAATGTGTACATACCATTGAAGTCAACCTGATCCCCAGTAAATGTGATTGAAGTCTATCAGGTAACTTTGGATCAATTAGAAGATGCACAAACCCTCCTAATTAGTTACCTTGTTTTAACCATTCACCACCAGATTTCAGTACATTGCAATTACTCATGATAATAAATAGATTCAAGAATTAGGGAAGTAGGACACATAAGCCTCCACTCCGTGCACTAGTTTATAGAATAAAACACTCTACAATGATGTAGAACGAGATGGCTATAATACGAAGTTAATGTAGGGTAGAATGGTAATCTAATACCAAGTTGATGAAGGGGGTGAGAAAATAGACAAAGGGGTTGACAAGAGCAAGAACAATAGAGGGAGAAAATCTCACAAGACAGTTCTAAAGCCACAAATATTATTCAATAATCAAAGCTGAATAATTTGATTACATAAAAGCCTTATATGAGCCATGAGAAACCCTTAAAATAAAAACATACAAAAATAACCTTGGTTAGAGAGCTTGGTTTGTTATTTCTTTATTCATCAAGGGCACTATTATCTTTATGTCTACTTAATATATAATAGGTGAGAGTCAAACCTTTCAAAGAACATTCTCCTCTTTCTCTCTCTCTCTCTCTCCTCTCCTCTCTTCTTCTTCTTCTCTACTTCTACAAACCCTAATTTCTTTAATCATAACTTGGTATCAGAGCCAAATCAAGTCCAGAACTCAGTCACACTCAGTTGCCCAACACCAGAAGAGGCTGACATCAGTGTATTGATGCTGATGTCATTCTGATGTCAGCATATACAAGTCAAGAACCACACCAACTAGCTCGCCCGAATTTTATGGCAATTATGGTGGTATCCATGTTGTATTTTATTGTTTTTTGAGTGTCATTTTCTATTTTTGAAACATTTTCGCAATTTCAGCCCTATAGTTTTTATCTAGATTTTGGAGCCATTCTTGGTTGTCCCTTTTTTTTTTTTGTTGAAATCCCTTCTAAAGGATGTAGTTTGGGTCTTAGAGGAGATTGTTTGATGGTTGGGTGTTGATTCATTGCATTTAGGTTTAATTTTTGGCCAAAAAGGAGGTTCGGCTGAGGCTTTTTGCAAGCTGTTGGTATTGTTTTGGTGAGTTCGGTGCTGAAATCTGCTGTTACACCTTGTTTTGGTTCTTGGGCTGCAGGCTGTTGTTACTGTTTAGGTACGTTTGGTGATGAAATCTGCTGTTAAACCTTGATTGGGTTCTTTGGCTGCTGCGATTTTGTCCTTGGGTTGCTGTTGGTGCTATAAAATCTGAGATTAAACCTGTTAGTTTGCTGTGTGTGTTGATTCTGGACCTATAATCTGTTCAGCTACTGTTTTATTCTGTTTAAATAGTACCCATGGCTGAGACTAAGCCACAGACCGTCAAGGATGATATGCCCGAGTTGATTATCTCGCAAAAAATTAATGGAGTTAATTATCTTTCTTGGGCTCATGCAGTTCAGGTTTTCCTGCGTGGGCGAAGGAAATTGAAATACTTGACTGAAAATCCTCCCTCTGAGAGAAGATTGAAGATTGGGGGTGTGAGGATAGTGTTGTTATGGGATGGCTCTGGCACAGCATAGAACTGGAGATTGCTAGTATAGTTGCATTTTGTGATTCGTCTAAGAAGATTTAGGACTCCATTGCAGACTCATTTTCGCACGAAAGTAATGTTTCTCGAGTTTATGAGTTGTATGAGAAGATTTTTGCTACTAAGCAGTCCGGGAAACCATTGTCAGAATACTACAATATCCTGAAAATTTTGTGGGATCAGTTACTGCAACATCGACCATTTACTACTGATTTAGAGCAACAGAAGAGGCACTGGGAGGAGTTTATGGTTGCTTCATTACTATCCGGTTTAGGCACAGATCTTTGTGGCGTCAAAGATCAGATTCTCGCTAGCGAGAAGTTACCTACAACTGTTAATGCTTATTCTCATCTACTGCGGTCATCTTTGGGGCAAAGCTCCACTGTACCTCCTACAGAGTCTTCTGCATTAGTCCCTAGAAGTGGAGGTCGCGGTGGTTCTCACGGTAGCCGTGGTGGTCATGGTTTTCGTGGTAATTCCCTAGTGGACGTGGTGACAGAAAGCATGATCATTGTGGTGGTACAAATCACACTGAACCTTATTGTTGGGTGAAATATGATAAACCACAGCATGCACATCAGGTTATAGATGGTACTGCACAGCCACTGCAGCCGTGTACTACATCTGGACATGTGGCTTCAGATTCTGATTCTCATGATACGCTCACTACTTAGCTTAGCGAGCTCCTTCAGACATTACAATCTACTCACCCATCCACATCAGCTGCTACCTTAACCAAACTCTCTAACAACCTTAAACTAAACATTACCAAAAATAATAAATAAACATAAATATGTAACTCTAATTTCCTAAAAATCCCTAATTCTATTTATCTTTGCCCTTTCTCCTAGAGCAGGTGCGAATCATATGCGGTTCGGGCTTGTCCAGTCAGCAAGAAAGAAAAAAATGACTGCCCACTGCCCAGTCAGCAAGTCACCACCCAGGGGGGAGAAGAAAATCAAGGAAAGACCCAGGTCTCAGAATCAGTGACACTCTGATTAATCCAAAATAAGATTTATATATGTTACATCCCTAAATCTAAAGAAAACTAACATTATCGAACCTGATCATATCTAGTATTCTAGTTAAATCAAGAACAGTGTTACAAGGTAACACAGTACACCATAATCCAATACAACCACTCATGATACTTTTTGTTCTCAACACTTCCAACAAACACCTCCTAGCTAAGATGCTTTTAATTATATAGAAATCTCACCACTTGATATAGCTTCGTATGCCAATTGAGGGCATATAAAGTGCACATGACAGTCTATGGCTCCTGCTGTTACAATCATTCCTTCTCCGGCAATAACTTCAGTGTTAACCTATTCGAAAAAGAGGAAAATACCACAATGTTAACCTGACAATCATATTTCACAATGTTAGAAGGTACTCACCCCAATTATCATGTTGTCTGGTACACCATGCATGACATGTGGGTTGCCTGCTTTCCCAAGGGCCACAATAAGACCTCCTTTAATACCAATATCTGCCTTAAAAATTCCAGTATAATCAATAATCACAGCATTTGTGATAACAGTATCCAGACAGTCAGCTGGACTCCCGCAAGCCTGCCCCATCCCATCCCTTATAACTTTTCCACCTCCAAAAACGCATTCATCACCATAAAAAGCAAAATCGCTTTCAATTTCTGCAAACAAGTCAGTGTCACCAAGCCGAATTTTGTCGCCAGCAGTAGGACCATACATATTAGCATAGGCCTCGCGAGAAATTGTACAAGTAAAAGATCCTTCTCCACTGAAACCTTCACTGCAAATTCAGTTTCAAGTAAGGCATCTTCTTTATCCATAACCATATTGGCAGATCACGAATATTCAATTAAGCACCTAACTTTTAAGTAACATTAAAGAGAAGTGAAAATAAGCAGTACACAATCGCTTGGCCGATTTTCTAAACCTGGCATTCGTTTCTTCTGAATGGCCAAATCCTCTTGAGCATACAGCTTCCACTACTGCTGTGATATTGTCATCATGAATAGGCCCATCACAAATGTTGTTTCCTCCTCTGATCTGTTGCTTACCTCCAATCCTTACAAGAGTAACACTTTTTGTATCCCCTGGCTGGAAAAGTAAATAATGATACAAACTTAAAATCCATAGAGAGGAAAAATTAAAGAGCAAATCATGAAGTAAGATGCTTGACAGAACTAATTATTCAGTGCAATATAATAATGGAACTACAATATAATTTTTAAAAGTAAGAAATGGTCATTACCTAGTGTTGGTCCCACATTCCTTTAACATTCATCTTATTTTAGTCTTTAGAGCCTGTCACGCCCCGAATTCTAAGAACCCGGTTCATGACAAAGGAAAGGTAAACCAGACTCTAATCCAAGTCCCGAACGCAAAAGCTAAGCATGAAAAATGGTCAACCAATGTGGTTAACACGACTGCAACATCAATAAGGGTACCAATGATCTCAATTGAGTCAAGGCATGAGCCAAGAAATGCTCGGAGAATGGACCGAGTGGCCCACAGAAAAATGCCCGATCTGGGCAAGGATCGGTCGGCCGAAACTTCCGAAATGAACAAATACCTCCTACTTACTATTGCATTCAGAGATCATCATATTACATACCTTCTGCATTAATTAAAGGTTATATCTGTCTCTAGTATTTCCCTTGCTGCAGCCCATATATGCAGGACCAATACTAGGTACTAGCCTTATGTGTTTTCAACTGATTATATATCTTAACCTTCCTAATTCATTAAACGATACCATCTCTCATCTTGCCACTTATCCATCTCTACATCCTTATTTCAATTACACTCAATATATGGACGTGTTTCTAGATTGCCTAGCATTATCTCAGCAGATCCAAAAGACATCTTATAGAGTTCTCTTCTATATATGAGAAGTAGACATTGACCACACAACACTAGAACAGCAAGTTCCCACTTCTTCCACTTTTTCCCATCTCCATGGACAATATCCTCCTTTATCTTATATAATTCAGTAAGAACGTACGGTATGTACCTCTTAAGTGCTAAATTCATACCTGCCATGCAGAATATGTATGTATTAAGAGGAATGAAGCACACTAGTTTGAATTGAGAAATGCATAGTTCAGGTACACTGTAATTTAAAGTAAATGAGGTTAAATTTCCAACCTCAAATCGTGTAGCTGTACCCGCAGGTATGTTCAACCGCATGCCATATGCTTTCCTTCTGTCAAAAGCTAAGAAAGGGTTCACCTCAACAAAATGATAGTGGCTGCCAACCTGAATGATAAAAGGATGTTAGTTCACTCAATCATTACAGAGGAATATCAGATTATTCGAATTGTTGTTTAAGCAGTAATTCCTATCTATAACAAAACTAAGTTCATACAACAGAAGACTTGAAAGGCTTTTACAAATTGCAACAAGAAATGATATTGCTGCGAGTGCAGTAAAAGGGAAATGAAATACAGTTCAACCATAGCAAAGAAAATGTCATATTCTTATCACATGGATGATGGAACTTAATAGGACCAATTGGACCATAAAAACTTAGTCCAACGGTGGATAACACTTTCTTTGCTGTGCAAATCCCAGAAGCTAAAACAAAAGAACAACTGTAGGGGACTGTCTCTATCCAGCCCAGACAGTGCTATTAATTAAGAAATATGAAGATCGTCATTTTATGCAATATCATAGACTTCATGTTTTCTTGAAGAAAACACAATAAATATATTTTTCTTTCTGAATTCAAAAAAAAAAAAAAAAGAACACGATAAATCTCATCTCAAATTCCTGAAGTTGCAATTGAATTATAAAATTTAATTACAAATGAGTATATAACTTTAACATGTTAATCAAGTACATATAATATAGCACTTCCCAAGTGGGATTAGACAAAATAGAAAAGAAGTAAAGATGCCACAACATTATGGAATCTTATGTATAAAGCAAAAACCTGAATTGGCCTGTCTCCTGTGTTAGTGACTTTGAGGATGACTGCTTTCCTACCAGAATTGAGCGTAATATTTCTACCTCCAAAGCTTAGTTCACCAGGAATTTTACCATCTTCAAAACTGGGAAACTTTTCTAGGGAAGGAACTGCAGAACCAACATTCTTCCATCAATGACCTTCAGAATGAAATTAGGAATCATTTCATATAGAATACATTTCCCTCCTTCAGTATTTGTAAAAAGCTACGGTTCAGAATCTACCAATACATAATGCAATTATACAGAAATGAAAAATCAAATCATCAACTTTGGCCCTGTAAATTTCAAGAAATCTAGGTACATAAGACAGTAGTGTAACAATTGATCTGCAAAAATAACTTATGGTCACTTAAGTGGTAGGGAGTAATTGTTTTAATCTATCAACTGTCCTAGTTTTCATGACGCTATAGCCACCAGAGATCAAGTCTTCCAAAGGAGGGAAATGTGGCTTCCAATTAGAATATAGCTCCATAGCACTCCACAGGTTTCTCACAGATGAATCTAAAAGTGATAAAAGTTTATGTTGGAATATCAAGTAGTTTCAAATACTGTAAGGTATGTTGGAATGAAACCAACAACTTTATGGCGGCAGAACTAAACCAACATTTTGCCAGACTTGCTTAATATCAATTATCAGCTTATAACTATATTTGCGACTAAGCTTTTATTGTCCTTGCTATTCCAATTGATTTTCATTTGTGACCAACTTTTTACAGCAAGTTTGTATAGAATTCCATGTTACCCAGGGATAAAAAAAAAAGGTCCATGTTTCTCTAAATATTGACCTAAACAACAGTATGGTAGACTGTATCAAGCAAAAGCACAAAATAAATACGCCTATTGCCTCACTATTTCATTGTTGGTACAACCTTTTATTCGATCTCTTTTTTAAAAAAAGAAAAAAACACCCCAAAGTAGATCTATACTCCATAGTACCCAACAAGTGGCAATGAGTATAGTTAGTCAGCAATCAGTATGTTTCTTTAAGGTGTCAGCATGTTTCAACAGTTTAGGGACATCATAGTATCATTAAGATACGAACATTGTTCAACTAAGAATGCCAAATAAAATGAATAAGCAGCCTCACACTGCTCTTGAGATTGACTTGCTTCCTTTCAGCGCCTATCAAAATCAATGAAAGAATGAACATCTCAAAAAGACTTGCCTAATGCCCCAAATTGATTCTAATCCAGGTGCCTGATATGGTATTATATAAGGATATAAGTTGATTCATTGCACTACTTTGAGGCCAAATGTTACTGTGAAAGTGAAGAGCCAACTGCATTACTCTGAGGCCAAATCTTATTGTGAAACTGAAGAGTTATATCAACTTGATAATTTAAAATACTTTAACCTTCAATTTTATGAGTTGAGGAATTTGTACTAGGGTCTATAAAAAATTTATTCAAGGAGCTAACTGCATGAAATATAGATCTCATACTGCCAGACGAGACAAAAACCAAGTACAGACATGCAGCATATAGAGCAGTTGCAGAACAAAATAAAAAAATACTATGAATATTCAGTCTCCTCAACGTCTTTAAAACATGAACAAGTGAGGAAAGCTCCATTCATTATTTATTGGCCATAGTTAATGGTCTATTTAAGCAAAGAAGGATCTTCATGAATGAGGTGTTTGGGCAATAGTTCACACAACTAAAACTAGAACATCTTCTTAAGCATAGATGCACAACATGAAATGCCTTTGACAAAATCTTCTAATTAGAACAGCTCAGTAACATGGTTGTGATAACCAACCAAACAAAGTGAAGACCTTAAAAGCATGGGAATCTATACAACATCCTTACCTGGGAGGAAAGAACCGTGTAAAGCTAGCTCCAGATTTCCATTTTCACTAGATATTGCATTGTGGACGGTAATTAACTTTGTCCCATCAGGAAAGGTTCCCTCAACCTAAATGTAGAATCAGAAGCTGATTTTCACTTAAAACAATTGAATCCGGAACAAATATAAGTTTCATTTATACACCACAAAGAAAGAAAGTAAGAAATTGAAATGTATGACAAGCTTTCAGCACCAGAGAAAATTAAAAAAAATTCAGAGTAGAAAGAATTTTGTTTCCTGAAACAGGGAACATATTTTTCAACTTATAGCCTATAATGCTATTGGCCAGGCAGACAAGGACATGTAATATTGAAGCGGGGGATTTAGAAAATGGCAATACTATCAAGCAGTGAATATAATATCATTGAATATAGGTCATTATTCAACAAAGAAGGACAAAGAAAAGAATTTCAAACATGCTGAGTGTTCCCATATAACTTGCTCAAGCAAATCAGTTGAAGCTAGATAACCAAGTTAGAACCAAATTTTGCTGGGACTTAATTTACAACTACAAAAGGAATCTGCAAATTTAATTATAATATCAATAAAATTCACTACCTGAACGGTATCCAAAAGGTGTGGAACAGCTGGAAGAACTTGTCTCCTGTTAACAAGCAGACAACCGTCACCATTTGTAAATGTTGCCAAATGTAACCAATTCTTGACAAGAAAAACATATTTCTGTATAAAAGAACACAGAAACTTCATAAATACAGAATACACCAGCCATGGGGTCCTAGGCAACAGAAATTTACAATGATTTTATTGTTAAAATTTTAATTATAGGCATCCTTATTTACCCATTACTAAATTCATGAAACTTGAGGGTGCTTTGGTCAGTGGTTTAACTGCAATTGGTGCAAGTTCGAGCCCCAAAGAAGCCAGTTTGTGAAATTACCAAAAGTTAGGTCTGTCTTGAGTCCTCCCTCCCAAGGACCCTACTATAGCGGGACCAGAACTGGGTATGAAACTTTTTGAAGCTAGAGGTTTCTCATTTTTATCACTTTGGAAATACCAATAAGGCCACAATACATACTCCAAAAGTAACTTCAACAAGCCCCTTATATAATAGGAAAAAAAGAAAAAAGTCTCTGGCATGCCAAAAACTCTTAACAGTCGTCTAAAATTCCAACCCCATGAACTAGTTTCACTGCCCTTTCTTCTCTTCTTTATGAAAGTCCTTTCTTGGATCACCAAGCCTTTGCTTTCTCACCATCAACTGAATCTTTTCAGCTGTCAGCCCTATCCATTTCATCATATAAAGCCTGGGATTTTCCTCACTTTATCTTATTCTTCTCATTCTTGAAGTTACAAGAACATCACCCTTGATCAAATCAAACATTCAAAAGAACAGAAAAAGATCCATTGTTTCTTCTTAGACTCATACAGTATTCTCAAGCCATCTTCCCATGACTCCATGTAGGAAATTTATTTTTTAGATTGCAAATGAAATCACTATATCATCATAGAATATGCCTTATGTAAATAAAAGAATAAATTAAACAATTAATTTAAATCGTACCTTCCTAACAGTTGTTTCCCGAGGTCCATCAATTCTGCCACAGTTTTCTCACCGCCACGAACAAACTCCAAAATCTATGAACAACAAACAAGTATATCAGCTCTCAAACTTGGCTGTTTAAAACCACATTTAAAATGGAAACATCAAAGGATTTGTATGTGTGCAATTCAACTAAACATAAACTTAGCTGAGATATGGGAGCAAGCTACACTACTCTTTTTTCATCATTCTAATCTATCTACAATCATACTAAATCTGTTTATGCATAGCAACCTTTAGAAATTTTGAATGAATTAACATTACAAGGAAGTTTGTATATATTGATTAAAGAACTACAATGTTCAGATACGGATTAAAGAAGGTCTCAAATCACCGACCTGTGTTGCTATAAGTGCTACAGCTTCAGTGTAGTTAAGCCTTAGGCCACGAGCAAGACGCTTCTGTGCAAGAAAACCAGCATTGTGCAGCATTAATTTCTCGACCTCTCTTGGAGCCAGCTTCATTTTGTCTCTCTCACTGTCACAATCCCAATCAAGAACAACCGTATGGAGGTGTACTAAGCAGGCAAACAAACTGTAAAAGGAAAACAATACATTCATACACATACATGAGCTCTAATATAGTGGATGATGATCCAAAACTGTAAATATGAACTAAAAAACTCAACAGTGACGGTCAAAACATCGACTATAAGTAATGAAGCAGGTTCAAACCAGATTAAAATTATAATAAAGAAAAATTCAATTGAAAAATCTATAAGAGATAAATAACTTGATTGGATCAATCACATCACCATCCCTAATTCTACTGAGAGTTACACCATTCTAAATCATTCAAACCTTAAAATTCAGTCAAACCATTACTTGCCGAGTTCAAGAGCTCAATTAAATTATTCATTTACAACTTATCAATATGATATAGATAGACATGTATATTCATCTACCCGTGTTGTTAAAGATCGACGAATATGCATATATATATATATTTTTGCCCTAATTTGAACAAAGAAAAACCAGTATATATATATATATATAGTCTACAAGAGCTACTATATATATATATATATATATATACTGGTTTTTCTTTGTTCAAATTAGGGCAAAAATGTGACTGGAAAAAGAAGAAGACGATACCAGTAGTCAGTAGAACTTCGGCAATTCAACTGGGAGTGTGTGATTCTGTTCAGCGACTAATGAATGAAGGACACGGACTCTGACAGTGTTTGGAAATTAAGAAGACTAATTTCAGATTTTTATTTTCCCAAAAAAGATAATGCTATTTTAAATGTTTAAACAAAATTCAATTTTCTTTTTTTTTTTTTCTCCTCCAGAAACCAACTACAGCCCCCATTCTCGTCTGTGACGCTTTCAATCACTTGCACAATAATTTTAAATGACACAATCAATGCAACAATTTTGCAATGGTTATGCAACAACTATGATATATCATTATATTTATATTTTGCAACGGTTGTGCAATAACTATGATTATATCAATTATTATATAAATCAATTATTGTTGTACAATGTATTATGTTATTGCCCTACTAAATAGTTTGAGTGCACATGATCTTGCATACAGAAGTTGAATTCTCACCTTCAAATTTTAACTTGGGTACTTGAACTCTAACCTTTAAATTTTAAAAAAATAATAAAAATAAAAATAAAATAAATAAATAAAAATTCTATTACACTATTTTGTAGTAGTTAGTTCGTTCACTAGCCAGAAATATTTCTTGTTTTCTGTTTTTATTTCCTAAAAAGACAAAACAAAAGGCATGTTTTTACTTAAATGTGAAAAATGTAATTTGTTTTGCCAAATGTAAAAATTACAATAAAAAAAGAGATATTTTTACTTATTTTTTACATTAATTATTCATATAATAAGAAAATAAGAGTAATTTATATTGGATTGATTAAAGTCATTACTCTACATTCTAATATTGGATTAATAAAAGATATTTTTACAACCCAAAAAAAAAAAAAATTATTGAAGACTCAAAACTATGTAATTGGTTTCTCGTAATTATCCGCATACATAGTTTGAACTTTACTCAATTCGAGTGCAGGATTGCGTTGCATGATCTCACATATTAGTAGGAACAAAAAAATAAAGTAATTATTGATATATTAAACAATGGTATTGTGAGAAATATAGTATATTTTGGGTTACACCGCGTATGATTCTCTCTTCAAAAGCATACAAAATTATTTGATGACAACACTTAGCAGTTGTTCAAATTGTGTGTGTCAGCACTAGCAGTATTTTAACTGCCCATCTGTGATAGAAAAAGAACCAAACAAAAAGGACAAATAAAAAACTGGGTAAATTGTCATGCTTTGGCTAAAGATGATAAGGTTGTCAAATAAGTCACCAAAAACCAAAGCAAAACTTAGCGTCATTAATTAGGTCAATGTAATGAATAATGAAATTTGACAAATGAAACATCAGCACCTCAACTAACCACTCTCTCTCTCTCTCTCTCTAACACATACACACACAGTGGTGTCACCCTTGTTCCTCAACTGAACTCAAGTCAAGAGACCAAGAGTTCAAACAGTTTGTTTGGCAAGGGAGAAGGAATTGAAGGAAGGGGGAAGGAAAAGAAAAGCGCACAAGTTCTTTCTTTGCTACAGAAAGCTGAGAAAGGAGAGGAACAGAAAAAAGGGTAAAAAGAGCTTTGCGGACAACAAACATTGCTAATCTATATCACTAATTTTCTTCCAAATCAAAAGAACCAACCAACACCCCACAATTAATTAACAAAATACTAGTGAGTTTAAGTTCTTTCTTTGCTACAGAAAGCTGAGAAAGGAGAGGAACAGAAAAAAGGGTAAAAAGAGCTTTGCGGACAACAAACATTGCTAATCTATATCACTAATTTTCTTCCAAATCAAAAGAACCAACCAACACCCCACAATTAATTAACAAAATACTAGTGAGTTTAATTGAATTACATCTAAAATCTAGAAGAAATGGCTGCTTTAATTCCATCCCAGTCCGAATAAGGCGAATTCGGGACTGAAAAAGAAAAAGGACCATCCAGTGTAAGAAGCTCCAAAAGGAGCCTCTAGCACTCCACTTGTTGAAACTAAATATAAAAGAGCATCGACTGTAAGAGGCTTTTTTTGGAGGAGGCTTACATAAGTAATATCTCATTTCCCTGTAAATATAACTAATGCAGAAAAAAAAGGACCAATAGTAGCAAAAATTCAATACATTGAAGAATGACTAATTCAAACTTTCTCTTACAACAACATATCAAGAGTTAGCAATGAAACACTTGGGTCATGAATAGACCCATCTCTAAAAATAAAAGAAAAAGAATTGCAAAATGGTACAAAGTTTAATGTTTTAAGTGTGATGTATTATTCCTCCAAATCATGTGAAGAAATGCAACTGATTTTTGTTTCTCCCCTATATTTGAGTACAACTGACTACTGTAACTAAATATAAGAATTTACAGAGTATATGTCATACCGCTACTAGCATAATAGTTGCAGGCAGTGAATTAACGTCTTGTTGGAGACAAAATTCGGCAAAATCAGAAGTAAACTTGCCTTCATGACGTGTTCCGAGGGTTGCCTCACATTAATATCGTCTCCCAAATAAGAAAAAGATTGAGATGACATTAACAGAATAGTTGAGACTTCAAGAAGTATCAGCAATCCTTGCTCTCATCAGCTACAGTAAAGTTAATTCCCATCCAGTGGAGACTATCATTGTACCAATTCCACATTCCAATTAGTAACACTATCTATTTGCTTTCCGGGCAAGAAAACGTTCCCGAGCTGCTTGGATCATGCTGCCAGGGTCAGCAGTAGGCCCAACAACATCAACCACTCTTTTTGGCAAGTTGGAGCTTTCTCCGTCAAAACTCTCTTCAGACTGACTAGATCCACCACTGCTTCACACAAACAAGCAAGCTCTAGGTCAATGGTGGTACAACAATGGAAGTGCAACTTTAAGCAAGTAAAACAATATTGCTTCTGAACATTTCTGGAGAAAAAATGAAGATGGTTTACCTGAGTTTGTTAATATTCAGTTTCTCAAGTTTCTGTAAGATGGGTCTGACCCATGGCATCTCTACTGCACACACATATCGCATGTATGGACGTGAGGTAACAATAAGCTCATGGTACACAACATAATTTGGAAGCATTCCCTCTTCATCAGTTCTCAGTACAGAGGATGGATGCACCTGAAATAGAAAATACTTTAGCTTCAGGCATATACTTAAAACAACAACAATTTTTTTATTAAAAAAAAAAGGAAAAAGAATATCTCTAGATGTATGTAAAACAGTATAGCTGATTGTGCTAGCTTCTCAAAATCTCACTGCTAGTCACTTCTCCAGATTCAGACAGATTTGTATTACATCAGTATGATGATTCTTAAATGCTTATTTCAAATTCAACTTTGCATCAAACCTTTTTTCTTCTTCTTTTTTTGTGGGTTAGGTCTTTGCATCGAAATTAGTCATTGAAGAAGTGAATAAATCATGAAAATTTGAATTAAATTCATTGATGAAACAAATTTGCACATGACACAGTAACAGAACAAGATTCAACTATTTTTTCATAGTTTCTACCTGCACAAGTTGGGACTTAAAACCAATAGTTCTATAGCCATTGTGGCGAATCATTCGCTCAGCGAGCTGATTTGCATAGCCAACGCACAAAGCCTTCCTCAAATTCATATAATCCTGTCGGCTTTCTTTCCATCTTTCCTTTGTCCGTACATCCAAGGGTCCTGTTTTTGATATAAAACATAAAAAATTATTAGTACCAAAATAAAGGATATTCAAATTTACAAGCAGGGTGAAGAAAATGATGACAAACCAAGAGCAACTAAGTTGACCAAAACAATGGAAAAACTCTCACAATAGCAGATCTATGATATAATTGCCATGTAAATGTAAAAGATGTGCAGGCTATAAGACTCATTTTTTACTATGGTAATACCTGTGTTACATGGATTTGGGTATTTGTTGCAGTACATGGACATGCCCTAAAATTTAGATACATAATATGTTGTGTCAAAAGTGTATCATATAATAATACTATTGTTGTTTAAAAATATACGCCATTATAATTTAAATTATATGCTATGGGGTTTTAAAGGAGGATTCAATCTATCTCATAAGTAGGAAACCCTTCTTCGGTATCAAACGTGAGCTTTTCTTCTTTCATTATCACATGAAGAAGATCTAAGTATCCGATGTGCATATGTGCATGACATGTTGTGTCAACTCAAGTGCGTTTGGAGGAATAAAAGAGTCAATGTAACACAAGATTAATACCATATTATATTGGGACTAGGACATTTTATGGTAGATGACGACTTGCGGCGTTTTGTGTATATTGGATCAAAATTTTCAATCAACATTCTCATTTAAATTGCTGCTTAATTTTTTTCCCGCTTTTCTAATCACAATTTAGGCATATGCTTATTTCACCAACAAACATCCCTAAAAACCCTATGTTACATTGTCAATTGAAGTCATAGGAGCTTCCCCTTGAACAGTGCAGTTGGTTGCAGGTGGGTCTATAAAATCAAGACCAAGATGGTTCTGTAGAGAGGTGAGGTATAAAGCCCGTCTGCTTGGAAGGGGCTTCGTATAGGAATATGGTATGGACTACTAGGAGACTTTTGCTCCTGTCGCCAAAATGATATCTGTGCGCACCTTATTGCTGTTGCAGCTGTTCAGCAGTGTGGTTTTAACACCCATGGATGTCAAAAATGCCTTTTTAAATAGGGATTTGGTTAAAGAAGTTTATATGGTTACTCCTTGTCTTTCCCATAACCCTAGTGAGGTGTGCAAACTCAAAAAGACATTATATGGTCTCAAACAATCTCCTACGCCTTAGTTTAAGAAGTTCTCTACAGTTATTTATGCCTTAGACTTTCGTCCAAGTGATCATGATTAAGTCCCCCGTCTTCTTTCTACTTTTGCTAGCCGTATTATTCTCCTCTTATATGTTGATGACATGATTCTGACTGGTGATGACGCGTATGACATTGCTCTCTCGAAGTCACAGTTGCAACTACAGTTTGAGATGAAGGATCTCGGTCCTCGCCACTATTTCCTTGGGAATAAAATAGCGTATTCTCCTAAAGGCTATCTTCCTTCTCAGTCCCAGTACGTGACGAAGGTTATTTCAAAGCCCATCTCACAGATTCACTAACAGTTGAGACTCCCCTAGAGTTTAGTGTTCGTTATGCTTCATCTGAAGGTGTTCCTTTAGCTGGTATACTTTGTGTTGAGGTATAGTTGGCAGTTTAGTGTATCTCCCTATTACACCACCTTCACTTTCTCAGTTAGTTTGTATTTTCTCCTACTACCGTTCACTGGGCTGCAGTTCTTCGTACTTTTCGCTATCTTCGGGTACTTTGCACTAGAGTTTATTGTTTTCCTCTACATCTGCTATGGTACTTTACACTAGACTGAGCCAGCAATTCCACCAACCAGAAGTCCACTTATAGCTTCCGAGTTTTTCAAGGTGACTCTCATTTCCTAGAAAAGCAAGAAGCAAACAATTGTTGTTCGCTCTTTTGCTGAAGCGGAGATGCTTGGCAATGGTGGTTGGTTGCTAGTTTGGTTTCTCTTTCTGCTCCCACTTCTCTGTACTGTGATAACAAGAGTTCCATTCAAATTGCACACAACGCTGTCTTTCATCAGCATACCAAGTACTTCAAGAATGATTGTCACTTTGTCCACCACCATCTTCAGCTTTAGACTATTTCCTTACTGTTTGTTGTTTCTACCATGCAGTTGGCTGACTTTTTTAGGAAATCCTACACTATTATACATTTTCATTTTTTCTCGGCAAACTCTCAATGCTTCTCACTTTCATATCACGAGTTTAAGGGAGGGTGTCAGAGAGTTATTTATTTTTCTATTTTCTGATGCTATTATATAATATGGAGTAGAGTAGCCTTTTCTTCTTGTTTTACAAGGGTTTATTTCTTCATTATAAAACATCTCTATAATCACGTATTTGTGGTGTGTTTAATAAGATTGCTTCTCTCTTTTCTTCTTGTCTCTTTCGTTATTATTGTACATGATATCATGTTCATCCTCCACGACACCATCAATTCACCCCCATTCCTTCAAGAAATGAGATGCGGCCATGAGGCAATCCTAAGGCTGTGTGTGTGTGTGTGTGTGTGTGTGTGTATATATATATAAGAGAGTGTGTTTAGTTTCATATTTGGGTTCATATATATACGAATAGTAAGTGGTGGTGGAGGGCTGGAGAGGAGAGAGAACATAGGAGGTGGTGGTGATGGAGTCAAGAGGAGAGATAATAAGGAGATTGAGAGGAGATAATAAGGATAATAAGGAAATTCTAGAGAGCCTAAAGAAATTTTGGAGAGAGAAAGAGTGAGGTGTTAACTGAAAATTAAGAGGAAGATAAGGGTAGTTTTGCCCTTCCAAAACTGATCAAATTCATCATTTACAATGATGAGCACGGGTACTTGTGCCATTCCGTAATATAAATGGGCAATTTTGACATTCAGAGAATATTAATTAACGGGCTTAACAGACCACTGACGGCTAGGGGGAATCTGTAGTTTTATGAAAATCTCAGGGACAGTTGATGGTTTTTTGTTGGTGCAAATTGCAAACCTCAAGGGAGGTCAAGGTAATTTACATTAATAAGAATGGAATGACACTTTGAAGCAGGACCAAAAAGCTGGATCAGGCAAACGCCATAAATAACATGTCTTCAAAAATTAGCACCTTGCCAGAATCAACAGGATTACCATTGGACATTTAAACCAGTACTATGCACAGTTGCACACTTAAAGTAAAGTGTCAGGAGTAGAAACCAAAGACATCACATCACATTCAATGATTAGAAATCAATGAAGACAGAATCCTAAGGTGAAGTGTGAAAAGAACTTGATGAACTTAACCACAACAGACTTGTTACCTGATGAAAAATAATAAACATAATGACTGCTATTATGTAATAAAAATGCCTGAATTAAGGTAGTTTAAAAAAACAAATGATCATTAAAATACCACAAAAAGGTTAAAATTCGAATGAAAATGTATTTTGTTTTATATAAGCTCCTCAATAGTAATGAAATCTAACCTTTTGCTATCTTCTGCATTATTTGAGATAACTGTTTCCGAACATCTTTGACAAATAGCATCCCTCGCACCTGCATTCAATAAGTTCGGCCAAAACATTTTTGAATCTTAAATACCAAAGCAAGATTTCCAACCAAACAGAAAGGAAGGCCAGGATGGCACAACATCTCAGTATCAAACTATCTGAGCAATTCGGTGCCATATATTTCCATCCTTAATATTTCACAACTAGAAGCCTGTAGAATATCAGGAAAAAGTACAAGCATGCATGTGCATCATTAACTTGCTTCTGCCACATGGCCCAAGTAATGCAATTAATGCCCGGATGTCATTTTTAAAAAGATGTGAAGTCTACCAAGACTAAGGTGTTGTTTGATAACTCAATTCAATGCTTAATTCTGAACAAATTAAATGTTTATCCAATTAAGTGTGTTTGATAACGCAAGTTGAATATCAATGAAAACGGTAAGCGCCACTTAAAATGGGTTAAAATTTTAAAAGATATTAAAAAATATTTATTTTTTAATTACTACTTAAAAACTTCAGTGCTTAAAATTCAGCTCTTAAAATTTTCAGTACTTAATTTTCAGTTTTATCAAACAGCACATAAGCCCTATGTAATGGCTACAAGATCATTTTATGAAGAGCCACCAGATGTTGAATAACTGAGTCTGTCATGTTCTGAAACAGAATAGGAGAGGGTACCTGCAAGCTGTTATCTTTGCACCAATCTACATCATAGTCAGTCTGATCCCAATGCTCAAAGATCTGTAATAGTTGGATGTGATCGCCCCAGCCAGAACCATCAGGAAGGTCTGGAGCATGCTTCCTCTTCTTTTCAGTGCTCTTGCTGCAATCCAATGTATCGAAAATATGGTCTCAATGAAGAAAAATTCACAATGGCCATGTAAAGAAGTGTTTATATTTACTAAAAACTGTTATTGGAATGGAAACGGTCTCCAAACAGTTCTTAAATTCTTAATTAATTACCCCCCCCCCCCACACACACACACACACACACGAGCAAAAAATTATGTAACTGCAAACTTCCATATTAATCAACAGCTACATTATATGACATGTCTTTCCAGGAAACATGGTCCTAATTTTTCTTATCGTATCAATTAATAATAAAATAATAACATGGATGGTGGTGCTTAACAGTTGACCCTGTTTGACATAATGGTGTCAGTCCATCTGGATGCCAAATACTCCGGAATGTCATTGTGCACTTATCCAGTAACCTTGATTTCACTGCAAGTGAAGGAAGTAAACGAGTTTCCATAAGTTGCTAGTACCTCATTTTATTCAAACCAATCAGCTTGAGTTTTAATACTGCTTTATTAATATGTACTTAAAATGGAATTGAGAAGTAGATAGGGGAGGGCTGCCATGCATAAGAATATGGATTTAGTCCGATGGGAGCCACTTTCTACAAATAATGCCAAGAGCTATGTCTAAACCCCGTCGATCCTTTCCAGTGCCCTTAATTAATCGGCAGCAATAGTGTCTAATGGCCTACTTTTTTATAGTTGATATCATGCATTGATAGCCACTACAAAAAGATTTAATTCAGAAACCTTACTATATCAGTCTTACACTAGTTTCTTTTCTTTTTTTCGATTCAAAATGAAATAACCACATATTTAGAACATCAACAAATAATTAGGGCCCTTTTACGTGCACATTAGGTCTGCCAGTTATTAGTAGTGAACTTGAAGATAACAGAACAAAATCATTGCAGCATCCACAAAAAAAAAATCATCTTCTGTAACAAATTTAGGAGTCTACCTTCGACCAGGAAGTAATGTTGTTTCCGCAGATAACATAGCAGCAACCGTCAAAGCCTGGGATAAACAACCATTTTCATTTGCCTCCATTAAGGTTCTGGAGAGTGAAGGCTCCAGTGGAAGCTCTGCGTAAAAGCACAGAAGATTCTCAGTAAACCCAAAAAATACCAATCAAAAAATAGAAGGCCAAGCATTCACCGAAAAACATCCATCCAGAAAGGAGAAGCCTAAGCGGAGATTCATATAGGCTAACACAAAGATGAATAAAATCCTTAGGATAGTGATGCTGATGACATCAATGATGCACAGAGTGCTTGAAGTTTTGAGAAGAATAACAAAACTTCAAGCACTAAAGCAGATTGATCAAAAGATACAATACATAAATATAATTATTTAAAGCATTAATACGCAGTGTGTCATTTGTGATGAAGTCTTGAAGATGATGATAGGTCTAGCAAAATGCATATATTATTCAAAATGATAGCACTATGCTTAACAGTTAACCTAGACTAACATAGTCATACTTATTTTTTCTTTTTTCTTTTTTTTTTCAGTAGCCTAACATAGAAACAGCCAATAAATTGGATGAGATATTAATACCAGCCATTGTTCGTCCCACACTTGTAATCGATCCATTTTCATCAATAGCATCAATGAGATATAGTTGCTTAAGAGCATCTTCCAAAGTCTCAGCTGTAGCAAAGCCATTCAGAATTCTGGTCACTCTATCAGCCAAATATAAAGAGCAAAACATGAGCAACAAAGAAGTGAGTAAGAACTGCATCATTACAAGAAGGGGGATCAAGAAAATTGAATTTGAGGATATCGATGTCAGGGAGATCCAATGATTTCAAATAAAGAACACTGCCAGCAAGAGAAGACCGCTGGATTTCAGGGACTGTTGCATCCAGGAAGTTGTCATTGTAAACCATGGATGGGTATAAACGATAGCACTTCCCAGGACGTGTTCTTCCAGCTCGCCCTGCACGCTGATTAGCTTGCACCCTGCAATTATACAAACGTAGAAGCTCAAAATCAAAAGGTAAATTTAAGTCCAGAGCAACTGATTAGTCCGCCATCTAAGATAAAGAAAATGGGAAAAAATAATAATAATAATAGGCATAGACTAATATATCAGGCAAAGTACCGGAGAGGCACTACAACTATTTTCATCACTTATTCTTTTGTAGTAGAAATAAACATGTTGGAGATGGGAAAAAGCTTTCCTTTAACCACCACCAAAATCACAGTCCATAGACTACTTGATTGCCCAATGGAGTGCCCTATAAGAGAGCAGGAATAAAGGCTTTGAATTCTCAAAGTCAAAGAACTTCCATCCAAGCCCTTAAGTTCAAAGCAATTTAGTAATGTAGCTCCCCAGATCTTTAAAACACTCATAAGCTTACAAATACAAAGCAGTTAATGACATCGAACAGATTTACCTGTGCGGTCAAAGTCTCAGATCAAAAACATCATCTCTTTCAGCACACAACAACGCACAATGAAAAGATCATAAGAATTTTTTTTACAGGAATAAAGTTAAATACATAAAAATTCCAAATCAAAGTGTTGGTCTCTAATAAAATACTGAAGAGCCCAAAGATGTGATAAATCCAACACAAATTACAAGTGTGGGACGAGCAGAAGATTATTAAAAAACTCATAATTTGTTCAAAAATAAGCACAAATTCAAATGACAGAAGATTATAACAAACATGTGTTAGAATGATTAGGGTTGCTAAAATCTGCTGAAGAAAAATAAAAAGTTATGAAATTATCAACTTCTTACTTGCTAATTTGAACAACATCAAGGGAATACATGCCAGTTGATGGGTTGTATTGCCGTTGCTTCACATAACCAGAATCAATAACATACCTGCCATTTATTTATTGACATGAGAAAACAGGTTGACATAAACCCAAAAAGGCACCAAACTTTTTCTGTGAGTTGGCATTTATTTATGAAACTTCGTGCAAGACAAGGGGAATGGGATAAGAATCTGCTCAAAGAAAAAGAGACTGTAAAACAGTAAAAGAATAATAATAACAATAATTTATAGGGACATTCAAATTCTAACATAGCAAAGAAGATGTGCGATTCAAAATGCTGCAATGAATAATATATCTGAATTTTCACTTTCACTGAAATAAAATAAACATAAAACTTTACGTCCTTATTCAAAGCTTGCGCAGGGTCGATGAATCCTTCCCTTGATCCTTTTTCAAATTTTGTAGAAATCATGGATAGTCGTGTTTCTTTTTAGTTTCGTCAAGGACTTTTCCTTATATACTTTCCCGGTAAATTGGTGCTGATTTATGAGTAATATAGACAGATTTAGTTACAGAACGCTCCCAAACCCAACACCCCAACCTGGGCGCGGCTATTACAACCCATTTTTGTACTAGTGTTCTTTAAGATAATAAAGCAACATTTTTTCTACTTACTTAGTATTATGGAAATAACCATGTACACATCTACATAATAAACGTCACAAAGAAATGGTTGACTCCATGGTGTAGTCTTCTTTTGGTGCTGAACATATAGCATTGTAAGTCATTTTGGTAATATAGAAGTGTTAATCATATGCCACACTACTGCATATCACATCATCGAGAAACATGTTTTTACATGTTTAAGTCATGCTACATAAGCCTATGCTACCATATTAAAAAGTGGAAATATGGAAAGGGATATAAGCATCATGAATTTAAAGAAGTAATTGAATGAAATGAGCTACTCAAATTATAATGTCCATGCAAAGTGTTCAAGTCTCCTTACACAACACCATCAACAGTTAAAGACGTTTCAGCAATGTTTGTGGCCACAATAAATCGCCTACAATTTGGAGGAGGAGGAGCAAATACCCGCACCTGTAGGGTCAATGCAAAGATAAAGCATCAACAACAACACAACGAGAATTGATTTGGAAAAAGCTGCAAAAAAAAAAAAAAGGGACACCAAAGTGAACTATACTCTCACATTCGACTCAATTCGGTTAAAAAAAAAAATATTCGCAGTTAAGAAGCAAAAACAACATAATTCCAATGAAGAAAATAAACCAGGAAGAAATCTATATGTATAGGTACACAGATAAATCATGATTCCTTTCTTCCTCTCATGCCAACTTCTAAGATAAAACCTTCTTGTATCATTCTTTTCTGAAAACATATGGCCAAACCTTTTAATACAGTTTGCAAAAACCTTTAATTAGATTCTTCTTTACAATTGTACTTTTTTCTGTTGTATAAGAAATCGCATCCCCAAGGTCCAAGAAGCAAGCGCTGCTTTCCTGAAATTAAATATTCTATTTCTAAATAATGGACTAATGGAGACATCTAAAATGTCTTACACATTTTTATGAGTACTCAAGAAATGCCGTTTTAAACATGAACACGGCTTCCTCTTAGAAGTGTTCAAACCTCTTTAGACCAGAATCCAATACAAACCTAGCAAACTGCACTATTTTAAGTCTTCCAAGTGTTATATGTCACTTCCTCAACAAACGCACCAGCTACTAAAAAACTTCCTTTTCCCTTCCTTTCTTCATACCTAAACCTCTTACACGTGTATCGAAACACACCACAAAATAGAACTTACCTCTCTTTCAATCTCTCACATCAAGGATTAAAAAATATTTTGGGTTTTAGGGAAAATCAAGCCTTGAATATTATTAACCTAAAGAAGTCATGAATTTCCCTTTTCAAGATTTAGTTTTCGATTGTGGATAAACAATCATTTCTTACCTGAAATTGTTGATCATACCTAAACCTCTTACATGTGTGTCGAAACACACCACAAAATAGAACTTACCTCTCTTTCAATCTCTCACATTAAAGATAAAAAAATATTTTGGGTTTTAGGGAAAATCAAGCCTTGAATATTATTAACCTAAAGAAGTCATGAATTTCCCTTTTCAAGATTTAGTTTTCGATTGTGGATAAACAATCATTTCTTACCTGAAATTGTTGAAGCACATAATTATTGTACATCTAGGTGAAATTATGCTAGATATTTTTATCTTGAACTATGTTGAAATATTTATTATCTAATTATTAAATAATATTACAGTAAATTAATTTGGTAAAGCATACAGGACTCATCTAGCCGGCCCAAATAATTGGAAAAAATATTTGTTGAGTTGAGTTGCAGTAGACTAGTTCAGTATCATCTGTATTAATCTTTTAGAGACAACGTGTTGGATTTTTTCTTTTTCTTGATCCATGTTTTCTTTAATATTTCTAAAACTTTTAGAATTATTTAAATTTCTTTTAACAATATAAGTAAAATATCAATGTATCGATCGATAATGATCTGATATATTGTGATAGATCGATCTCAATGCTCCAAGTGACTTGAATGATACAGCAATACCAAACATTGATGACATATGCTGTTATAGGAGTAGTGTTGAATAAGGAAAATTTTCAGACAGAAACAATAACTGAAATGGTATACAAAATACTTGAAAAAGTATCCCTCTCTTATAGCAAGAATATATATTAATAAAAAAAAGTTGCAAGGTTTCGCCAAAAATGAAAATTGAAAAAATAATAAGACGAGCCTGCAATTCAGGTGGCAAAGATCCATGAAGAGGAAGGATTATAGCATCCATACAGGATCCTTCCTCCAGGCGTTGAACTCTCTCCTCCAGCTTAGATACCAACTTCTCTATATCATCCTACAGCAAGGCCTCATGTAAGTATTTTCCAATTAAAAACAAGCATAGTATAAGAAAATAAAATTGAAAATTATGACTCCTGAGCTATAGGGAAAGAAAATGCTCACCTGTCCAGTCATGAAAATTAAGATATCACCTTCTGGTTCCTGAACATGAATATCTAGGAAAAAAGTTGATTGAATATTCACAATAATTAGCGCTATATTTACTGGAAGAAATAATAATTAGCGCAATTCATAAGAAGTGAAAACCAAAACCAGAACAAGATGTTATTGCTGCAAATTACAACATGATCTTTTAATTAATCAATTGAAAATCAAGAACAAAAATGTACTGAAGCAACAGCACCAAGCTACCAAATTTAAAAAACAAATAACAATTCATGAAAATCAAAGTTCTAATCATACCAATAGCTGTTTTCAAAGAAGACTCAAGATAACTCTTCGGGCTCTCTGCGCTGTGTAAAATTTCCACAGGAAATAATTTCCCTGGGACATTTAGTATGGGGCAGTCAGAGAAGAATCTGGACACTTTTTCACCATCGAGAGTAGCTGAAGTGATCAAAACCTTCAAATTGGATGCACGCATTTTAATTAGCCGTTTCATCAGTCCCAGCAATATATCCCTAACCAAGACATTTTCATAAGTAAAGTGCACTATAAATATAGAGCAACTAAAGACTAAAGTACATAAACAAAATTCCGACAGACTTACATACAACAGAAATTTCAAAATGGAAGGAGTACGACAAATGATCGAAAAATAATTACGCGTCACTATTAATTCAGTAATACTAGTATGATCGAAAAAATAACGAAACACCATTAATTCAAAGCACAAACTGTGTCAAAGAAGCGTGACAAAAAATTACGTGTTTAGACTCCTCTCGTGAGCTTCATCCAAAATGATCACAGAATATTGATTGAGCTCCGGATTAGAAAGACTTTCACGAAGGAGAACTCCATCAGTAAGGTATCTGGGCAGTTCACAACCACATCATTAGAGACCAGTAAAGTTGGCATCATACAAATCAGCATAAATAAGATAACAGAGTTCCAATGACAAGTAAAAACACATTACTTAATGCGAGTTCTCTCTGAAGTTCTATCTTCAAATCGAATTGCATAACCCACTTCCTCCCCCAGCCGAACACCAAGCTCCTGCGCAACCCGTCTGTGTACCATTAACAATTTATATATAAGAAATCATACGAATTGCTCCAAGAGCCAAAAAAAAAAAAAAATATATATATATATATATATATATATATATATATCTACCCACCCCAAAACCTTATTAATTAACAGTGAAACTTTGAGTTGATGATGCTTACTTTCAGATAATTTACTAGTTAGAGGCCATAAAAGAAATAAATATATATATACATATGCACAAACATAATTGGAGAAGTTTGTAGAACAAACTTGATGAGTTGCAACTTGAATTGACTGATATAAATAAAATTTGAAAACATTCTTCAATGTAGCTAAACATAAGAACACCTAGCAAGTCAAATACAACAATAACAACAAAAACAACAACCAAGCCTTCTTCCAACTACTTGGGGTCGGCTACATGAATCCTATTCATCCATTCTGCTCTATTTTGCTCAACAAAGTCAACTTTTTGGTCAAAATATCAATGAAAGTGAACCTTGCTATAACTAATTTATTTCCATCACCAAAATTAGACGTGTAATTATTAAGAATAAAGTAATATTTATAGCTTGAATTTCGATTTATTATAGCGTGATATTCTAATTCAGAAACTTTCATGAGTGGTTTGAACTTTGAAGTAAAGATAAATTACCTATATATGTGTATATATATATGTGTGTGTGTGTGTGAATATACCTAGAGACAGAGACAGCAGCGACTCGTCGAGGTTGAGTGACGGCGATCATTCCAGATTTGGTGTAACCACGTTTGTGAAGCATCTGAGAGAGTTGAGTGCTCTTTCCTGACCCAGTCTCGCCGATGATTACTGCGACTGGGTTTCGTTCCACTGTTTCTAAAATTTGTTCTTCGAATTGGAGGATAGGAAGAATCGCCATTGATCAACCAATTCAAAGCTCGAAGTCGCGCCAAACCAAAATTATCATAAATTAGGGTTTTTAGTGGTAAACCTCACGAGGACCATGAATCGAATTGCTGGTCTGACTACCGAAGGTATGTACATTTAGACAACTCTTCCCTGCATTCAAGTATAGTTCGGATTTAATAAATAAATATACTGTCATAATAATAGTAGTAATTAAAAACTCACTCACTGGAATGTATTGGAATTGTTTTTAAAAAAAAAAAAAATGTATTGGAATTGTGTAAAAAAACAAAAAAAATTGTATTGGAATTCTCATTGGGCCCCTGTATTTTCAGCATATTTGAATTGATAGCCCAATACTTTTAACATTTCTGAACACCACCCACAAATTAGCATTTTGATTTCTTCAATTTTTGACCCAAATTGCATCTTTTGCTACTTGAAGTCCAACACGGATGGGATGCCAATCCTTTTTTCTTTTTTTGTTAAGTAAATTCTCGTGCACATACTTCCAAATGTTTATTTCAGGTCTTGATACGAATTATTGAACTGATGAGAAAGTATGTCACACTATTAATCTCATCTATCTTTCAAAGGGAATGATGAAGGTGAATCTATAGCGGAACAAATGGATGTGTGAATTTTTTACCAATGAAGAAAAAAAAAAAAAAAAAATCTTTACTATCAAAGAATTCTCGACCGACACCACATTGGCGTCTCAATCACCTCTTCTTTTCCTTTACAAGAAAGGCCCCAATTCCGGACATTTCGATTTCTCTTCATCAATAGGCTCAAATCCCTCTTAATTCTTTCAAGTTGATATATATATATATTTTCCCTTGGCAACAAGTTGAGAAACACAAGTAATCTCACTAAAAACACTTATAGTTGCATTTTCATTTGAATCGTTTACAATGTGGTGATTTTCAACCATACCATTTACATTTGAATCATGTACAATGTGATGATTTTCAGCCATACCCAATTTGTGGTGTGACTAGTTAACAACAAATTATAGGTTTTGGCAGGTCTCTGAAATTTGAATCTATTGCCTTATAAGAGCATCCGGGCGGCATCATGTTTAGAGTAGAAATGTGTCAGTTTGGAGAGAGAAATGGACGGTACGGTGAAAAAAGTAGAGTATATCTTTTGTGGGATTTATAGCCATTGTCTAAGAGCATCTGGTATGCATTTAGATGCATACTCAATCTACTTTTATAAAGTAAAATTCCACATCAACTTTATTTAATAAAAAATATTGATGTGGCACTCTATATTGTTTTTTTAAAGAATGTGCAATTTCAAGGATGTGCAATGGTGTGATACATTTCCCTCATTATTTACTTTTTATTTTATTATTTTTGTTTGAGCTATGGATTAGTGTAGCTCTTGCTGGGGGAAGGCAAAAGTGACCAAAAAACATTAAAATAATGTATAAAGTAGATAGATATTACCTATACCATTGTCCACGACAATGCAATGGATTATCACCTGTGGGGACCTCTCTCTCTCTATACACTCTGACACACTTCTCTCTACAATTGGTTGCATGCTCTAAGCTATTGTCCACATATAGAACTGCCTTTAGATAATACTTCATTCTTTTTTCCTTTGTTTAATAAATCTGATTGAAGGCAAAAAAAAACAAAAGGCAGCACCGGCTCAATTTACTTCCAAACGTTCTATTAAATTAATAAAATAATAAATAAAGAATGAAATAATTGAGTTCCACACCATGGAACATATGCATAAAAAAAGTAGAGTACCACGTCATCACTTTTTAGCTTACGTGGCACTCTACTTTTTAAAAAGTAAATAGATAACTTGTGTTGCCCACACCACTTCCTTTAAGGTCCATCCAGACGGTTTGATACTAACTGAAACCGTTAGCCTGTGAAGCCCAAGCTCAGTTGACTCACCCCTTTATTCAGTGAGTTGCAGAGTTGATTCACTCAACTACACTGAACTAAACTCACCCTATCTGACAAGCTCTTCCTCTGCCTTATAGTCAAGCATGTTCATGATTTTGATGGGGCTAAGTTTTAGTGTTGCTCATGAGACTGAAACTGTGGTCTTCATGAAAATGCTACTCCTGGCAGAATCTGTCACATGTTGAATTAGGTTAAATGTCTTTAAAATGTGCTTTATCTAGAGATTTTGGGAGGTAGTGATATCATGTTATTCTGTATCAGCAAATACCATGCAAATGCAAAAGGCCTTCTTATTATCAGCAAATTAACAGTTTTGGCAAACTAGAGAGCATTTTTTTGTAATGCAATAGATTTAAGACATTTTTTTTTCTTTCTCGGAAGATTAGATTTAAGACATTCTGCCTAACAAAAGGTGATATCTCCTCTCCCCAACTTCTGTACAAAAGCCAAAATATAGTTACCATCCAGTATTCAAGCTTGTCCTTGCTTCTTACCGAAAATAGCTTCCCTTGTCACAAGCTTAATTCCTCTCACCCACAAATCTGCCATTTCGATCCCACCCTCACAAACAAAATGCACTTCCTTGTTCTTCGTTGTGACCACACGAAAAACTCCCGGTTCTTCAACGTCGAACTTCTTACGGCGGTTCCAACGGAATGCTGAGCTGGGGCCCACCTCGGCCCCCCTACATATCACATTTCTATTGCTGGACTTCCCCCAGCTCAACAACCCTGCATTCCCCACCATCTTGAGTGCTTTCATATGGGGGGCTCCTTTACCTCCCTTTGTGTGCTTCTTCACATGTCCCCCGCTTAACACGAGTGTCCGAGCAAGCTCATCCAATATCACGCGTTCTGCATCATTTCCCTTACCATGTTTCCTTGCTAGCAAGAGTGCAGTCTCACATGTTGAATTCTCAATGTCGCACCTAGCCCCACATGAGATTAGGAGTTCACACATGCTTCCATGACTTCCCCTTGCTGCTAACATGAGTGGAGTGTATCCATCACTGTCAGGGACATTGACATCATAACCCCCACTAGTTAACATACGGACCGACTCTAGATCACCACGCCATGCAGCGCGATGTAGAGCATAAAATCCAGTGGAAGCATGTTTCCCTTTTGCAAGTGCATATTCAAGAATTACCTTTTCAAAAGCATCACTCTTCTTGTTTGCTTCTGATAGAGTAATTGCTGTCTCACCGTATTTATTACTCAGCTTTACATTAGCCCCTGCATATACAAGCAACCGGAATGCCTCAACAAGACCACCTGCCGCGGCAAGCATGGCTGCTGAAAATCCATTTCCATCCTGTTCATCAAGATCAATTTCAGGTTGCTCAACAAGTTTCTTTAAGGCCTCAATGTCATTTGCTTGAGTGACGAACAGTATAGGAGAAAATACTGAAGCATTGCTTGATTGAGGAATCTTCCCAGTTCGGATTACATCTAGAACTGCTTGTTGGAAGCCAAGAGCCAACCACATGGATTCAGCAATTGACTTGGCACACTGACCAGCCAAATTAACCAAACCAAAATCAGCACCTGCCAATGCCAGAAGTTGAAGACACTCCTCACACTTATTTCTTGCACATATCATCAACGCAGTATCGCCAGAATTTGTTTTTGAGTTGAGATTACAACCAGCATTGATAAATTGTTGGAGAACCTCAGCAAACCCAAGCCGTGCAGCTAAATGAATAGGGCGGAACTCTGTTTTATCATCTGTTTCAACAGGGAACTCTACATTAGCACCACAATTCACAAGCACATTGACTGCTTTAGCGTTGTTACATAGGATGGCATGATGGATGATGGTCCTCCCAAAATGAGGGATGTTAGGGGAGAGGTGGCGTAAGAGCATGCACAAGATAGCACCACTGTCTTCAAAATACTCCACTGCACACCAGGTGACACTATAAGGTTCAGCTAGCCCTGCACCCACCCTAAATTCCTCTCCAGTAGCTGTGTCCCATGACCAGGCTCCCAGTCTCACTTTTGCGTCTGTTCTAACACCAGCCTTCTTTACATTATCAAAAGGCAAATGTGATATTAGATTATAGTGTTGTGATTTAGATAAAAACAAAAAATGCTTGTTTAAACAACTTAACAACCAAGCAGAAATCTTTCCATCAGGCTCACATCATTGGTACATAAGTCATATGGAAGGCCCATAAAATTAGGTGTTTGTGAGATGCTAACAGCAGAATTATAAGAGCTGTACTCAAACTGGCGGCCTCACAGTTATCTGATCAAACCGGGCACTGTTCTGGCCCAGCATGTAATCAGTATTGTCCAAGTCTTTGGATTTGTTAAGCATCAGATATATATACACCTGTACATCTTGGGTAGTTTTGGTAATCTTGCACACGGTGTTTACCTGTAGCAGCAATCTGACAACAGAAATCTGCCTGCTAACGATGGCTGCAACGAGCGCATTACAGTCAACATTGGCATGCAGAGACGGCTTGGAAGACCTAAGCAGCACCCGCGCGGTTGCATTAGCATCGACTCCACACTGCCCCAAACAAAGCACAAATGCCATTTGAGATTTCAATTAACGATCTGAGAATTTCAATTAATGAAGTAACAGACAGAATTGGCATCCAATAGGGCAATCTTCATCAAGTCCATTTTGAACCCTTCATCAATTTTGGAGAACAGAGCTTATTAAAGGTAATGTTATATTCCCCCACATTGTACAGAAGTCAAGGTGCCTAGTTACAACATTTATTTTTTCAAAATAGTAAATGGGATATTTATTTTTCACAATTGCAACCAAACAAATGGTGCCGATTGCTAGCCTCCAAATAGATGGAAGAGGAGCGGTGAAGTATTATGCCATCTTACTAAGAGGCCACATATCATTGGATCTTTCTAGACAACAATAATTGGCACCGAAAATCGAACTTACCACTGAAAATTTTGGGGTATGGTAGGTAGATTAACCTATATTACAATATGTTATGTATTTACCTGTAGCCGGGAAACACTCAGAATAAAATATCCTGCAGAGAAGTAAGTGCTGTTATGAAAATAATTAAATGAAGTTGGGCTTTGGAGACAGCTGAAGTTAGTGCAGAACTTTGCATTTTCAAAACCATAAATAGAGGTAATCAAATAATTAATACTCAAACTCCTAGCTTGATAGCAACTTAAGGGGAAATTAGTTTTGATATGCCTTTGTTTCATCATCACTGTCAGTCCGATTAGACTTAAATACATCACATCAAGGTTGCTCAGTTAAAGTAAGCCTTATCTCTACTATATTGAGTCACTTACACAAATCTTAGTTCACCATTTTCAGTCTTTGGCCTATGTTTTTCATAATTTTCATAGTGATTAAACTCAACTGTATTGGGTCTACAATCATTTTGCGTGCTCGTTTTATGACAGAAAGCCCACATGCAATGATGAAATAGAGATTTACACTAATAATATTAAGTACCTTGATGAGTGTCTCGACAACATCCACAAACCCTCTGCAGGATGCCGTGACAAGAGCATGCACAGCAACATGTGGGCGGATCATGTCGGAACCCATGAGCAGCTCAGCAGGCCTGGTCTGCCCCACATAGCTTGCTTCCAACAAAGCCTCCTCGCATGCTGTCTGAGATGCTCCACCATTCAAAAGCATCTCCAATATCTCAATATGGCCCTCCCTCACTGCCGCTGTCGTAGCATAGCCCCGGAACAGCTTCTGATTCACATTGGCTCCAACACTCTGTCATCATAAAATAGCCAAACAACCACTAATATGAACATGACATCAGGATTATACTGTTTCAATGAACATTTATATATAACAAATTCTCTACCGCTTTCGGAGCCTGAAATTTTGTATGAGAATTTCCAGTTCATACACTGCTTGTCAAGTGAAGCAATCAATGCAGAGTGAGAACATTTACTATCAGTGAATAATATCTACTGATATCCATAATTTCTCAGGATATCTGTCAGGTTCTGAATTAATTCAGAGGGTCACAAGGATAGAGAGGGAGGCATTATGCACGTACAGACACAGCTCATCAGTCATTTTTGTGCCAGTTCCAAAGCATATTCAGGCACTCCAAAAGATATATACATAAATTGAGGAAAAATTAGAATTTTTATCAAAAAAATCCAGTGAAATAATTGAAGCCTAAAATTCAACAACATCAACAGTGTTCATTCTTGTAAGAAATTACACAATTCTATATAATCTTCACTCAAGAAAACAATAATAAATACAATGACTAACTATTATTATTATTATTATTACTACTACAGAAATGATATGCCATCCAAATTCGGACCAAACCCACACTCACTGTCACAAGGGGCCTATGGGTCCCACCAGAGCTGCTGGCCCCACAGGCCCCTTGTGACTACGGGCATGGTCCGAATTCGGAACGAGTTGTTGTTGTTATTATTAGCTGCAATGACTAATTAACTAATTTCAAATCGTGTAATTATTACTCACTAATGAGAAAACAGTCAAAAATCAATATGACCTTCGTGCAATAACCCCAAGGTTGATTTCAAATTTCAAATCTGTATTAAGCAAAAGTTCTCTGAAGACAATCAAACACATGACAACAACCAAAAAGTCTCTCTCTCAGTGTGTGTATGTGTGTGCGAAATGTTTTCTTATATAGTGACTCCAAATCTAAAATCATTTTCCTTTCTAGTGAATCACACCTGTGATATACGAATACAATAATCTAGAACTCACAGAAATTTCGAAAACTAGAAGATAGACCCTTGAAATTTCAAACACAATCACTGAGAAAAGCTATGAATTTCCTCTCATTATAAGTATTATTTATATAAAATTATTAACAATTCTCGAGACATTCCAATAACGGAAAAAAATGAAAAGAAAAAATCGAAGAAATAAAAAAATAATAAAAATAACTTTGTTTTCACAAAAATAAGCTGACCAGTAATTTTCTGACGAGTGTCAGATTTCCGGCATGAGCTGCGAGGAACAGAGCAGTGACCTCCGTCTTGAACTCTTCGAATTCGAAACGAACTTCGTTGGCCGACTCATCGTGCAAGACAACATCTGTCCTTTTCGTCTTCAAGCACACTGTTCCGATGAAGTTGACGTCGACGAAGGGGTCGGCGACGTACTCGAGGGCCGAGTTGAGGTCGTCGGCGTGGGAAGCGTCGACGAGCCGTTGCGAGACCTCGGCTGCGTAATCGACCGGAAACACTTGCTTTCCGGCGAGGAAGCCGGGAGACGAATTCCGGTATACCGTCATTTTCCGGTGAGTTTGGCCGGTGGGAATGGAGAGAGGTCTCACTGTAAGTATAAGTGGACTTGTGAGAGAAGCTTCAGACAGAGGAAGGCCAAGGCGTTTTAATGGAGGTGGGAGGTGGGTCTAACTACTTTGACTCGGTCGCGTTTAGTCCAAATGGTAAGAAATTACACTGCAATTTGGTTTTAAAACAAGAAAACATTGCATTGTGTGTGTGTGTGTGTGTGTGTGAGAGAGAGAGAGAGAGAGAGGAAGGGGGTAGTATTTATTTATTTATGATCAAACTATAATAACTATTACAGATATTTTTATTGCATTTATTTCGTTCTTAAAAATTAATTGGAGATTATTCTCAAAATTAATTGGGGATTATTTTTGTTTTTATCTCATACTAATAGCTACTGAAATTAGTTGTGGGCTATACTTTGAAATTGGAGATCGAAAAAATTAGTTTGAAATCTAAAGTAATATGATCTACTGTTTCAATTTTTAAAAGTGAATTACATGCTATTGAGTATTGACTGCACTAAAAATCAATTAAAAAAATGTTAGTGATCTAATTTAATTTTTAAAAAATAAATCTCTTTTAAAACGAATGTAAATTCATATTTTAAGTTAAAATTCCTTTTAGAAGAAATAAAGTGATAGTAATAATCTTTTTGCCTAAAAAACAAAGTATGGAGAAACGGAATGACCATAGAAGAATAGTATGATAAAAGAAAGAAAATCCCTTGAATCAAGGATTTAAGGAACTACATCTCATTTCTTTTATTTTTAGTTGGCATTTTGTTTATATAATATTTCCTTTCCTCATTTTTTTTTTTTTTTTTTTTTGTCCCAACCATTTCAATTTATATGCAATTTTAAATAAGTTGGGTTAAGCATAGTCGTTACTCGTTAGCAATCTAAGAGTTATTATATTTGTGCAGTAATCTCACAAATTCTATAATGAAAATTGTAGGATATTTTAAAATCTATTAAATTAAATGATAACTCATCTAATCGAGTAAATTTATTTTTATATAAGAGAATCAATTTATCATAATATTAGCTTGAGTTTGTGCACTCAACGACAACTTGAATTTCTTATAATATGATGCTATGTTTGGCAGCATCAAATCACCTGTTTTAAACTGGGAAAGAAGATTTAGTAGCGATTTTAAACCAAATTTCATCCAATTTCAAATTCAAGACACTAATTTAAGTTCCCAAACCTATAACATGAAAGTAATATTTAAAATGGAGTCAATCTTAATAATAAAAATTTGATTTGCATAAAAATTACTATATAGGTTAATTTAAAGCATTACCCATTTTAAATATACTATTAGAAATTAAGGAACAACCTTAATTAAATTACATTAACTAAAAAAAAATGTCATCACAACGGTCACTTTATATTAAAGGGACCTCAATTTTCAAATTTTTATGCTCAACATTTGAAATTGGATTCCTCTCTATACGGTGTTATGCAACGAAGAACAATTGTGATCCATTTACACGTGTAAATGATCACAATTATCTTCTTATGTATGACACAGTGTTATTACAGTAGATGATCAATATTATAACATCGGACATAAAGTGAATCATTGAATAACCTATGGTAAAAAAATTACCGATATCCGGTGGGTGACGAAGAACACATTAACTTATTAAAATTCAATGAATATGGTAAACTAAGTGGCTAACTCAGACGGCAAAGGATTGCTTTGGCCGGATTTGGCCTGCATATATTTTTGTTGTTCTCTTAAATTAATTTCTTGTTAAACAAACAACTTTTGTAGTGCTTTTATGCACACAATATAAAATTAATTCATGACAAATCCAAATTTAGAGAATACCAAATGAAGTAAAACAAAATCAAACTCAGATTCCATGTCAACCTATTCGAGATAAACAAAGTTGGATTAGTTTTTAAAAAAGAAAATGCTATTTGTTTCACTTTCTCTATCATCCAAATTCTTTGTTGTTAAATTTGTTCATCCGTCCATCTTTGGTGTACCTACAAGACAAGTAGGAAAATAAAATCTCTCTCTCTCTCTCTCAATGAATATATATATGTATATATACACACACACACACTCATTACAGCACAGATCTTCCTATTGCTTAATTGGAAGTCATCACTCATCTCCAATGTGGTAGGTTGTAAGTTGTAACAATGTGTCAATGCTTGTCCAAACATTTGTTGGTATTAGCCCAAAATTTAGATGAACTCAGTCATAAAACGAAGTAGATCTCAACTTTGTAGTTTTGATTGTTAAACCTTAATACGGGTATCTGATGAAAGTGAATTTCATAAGAATATGCGACGCACTGTCACGAATAATGTCACTGTGCAAGTTCAACTGTTAAATGAATCTATTATGCTGAACTTAAGAACACAATTCTTAGATGGAATGTCAGTGTCAATAAAAAATAGTCTAGAAAATTTCACTTGATCATGCTTCAAGGCATCAACACTGTATGGGTTGAAAGTCTCCCACGTTGCTTCACAGTTCACATTCTCCGCTTTATTTTTTATTTTTATTATTATTATTTTTTTTTCGCTCCATCTTACAAAATGTTCAATCTGAGGCCAAAGTTTATGGTTTTATTACCAAACAAGAAGCCTGTTTTTCATACCGTGTCATAAGCTTGTCCCTTCACTCTGTACTTTGTTGCCTGACCTTTTCCTATGAATGTTTTTAATAGAAGAAATCTGTCGACATCGTTAGTTGTGTGTTTCTTAGAATATACATACTGACATATGCAAAATCAACTTATCAATTGCATTGTTCAACTTTTTTATCAGGTGTGACATATGATAAGTAATGTACTTTTAATTATAAATCTAAGCTTACGATACAATTTTTAAGAACGAGTCACCTTCATGTCCTTTTCGTTGAAAAGTATTGCAGTATATGAGAATTGCTGGAGAAGGTTGTTCTTCAACATGCTTGTCCTTGTCATGCTCTGCTTCCAAAGCAAGTTGCTTTGTGGAAACATAGTTGAATTCTACAATTTCTTCTTGTGTGGTGTGCTTTATAGATGCTACTAATTTTCAAAGAACTTCCAATGGAAGCTCTTTCTAGCCAATGTTCTATAAAACGGCCTTTACCCATAATTGTCACAAACCAAGCAAGCAAAAGCAATAACAAACAACACTTGTACCACCTATTTCTCTTCTAGTCTTTTGTGTCCACCAAATAGTTATGAGCATGTTTTCTGTATCAAGCATGCCTTCAACAACAGCAGTTCTGTCGACGTACACCACTTTTGCTGCATCAGCAATGCTGGTTAGGTCGGTGTTAAATGAAGTCCAGAACATGACCAACCAGATTATACCTCAACAACTCCGAGAGAAGCTCTTGTCTAAACTCGGAGGGCTAATGGGGAACCTTTCGTCTCAAATGACTCTCATCATTGATGAATATGATGGGCTCTCCCTCAATCAAGTCTTCGAGGCTTCACAAATCTACTTGCGCACAAGGATTAGTCCTTCAGTTCAGCGGCTCAAGGTATCCAAGGCACCACAAGAGGAAGAACTCTCGGTCACCATCAACAGAGGGGAAAAGATTGTTGATACATATGAAGGAATCCCATTTGTTTGGGAAATGATTTGTACCGAGTCTCAAAGGACAAGCTTCAACTATGAAAGCAGCTTTTCTACTGAAAAGGTTGAGCATCGATCATTCGAACTCAGTTTCGATAAGAAGCACAAAGTGAAGGTATTGCGCTCTTACTTGCCATATGTACTAGAGAGGTCAAAAGCCATAAGAGAAGAAACCAAGGTAGTGAAACTCTGCTCCCTTGGAAACTACTGTGAGGCAGGATCAGTTAATCTTGACCATCCATCCACATTTGACACATTGGCAATGGATCCAACACTGAAGAAGGAATTAATTGATGACTTGGACAGATTTGTGAGCAGAAGAAAGTTCTACAGGAGAGTTGGGAAGGCATGGAAACGCGGGTATTTGTTGTACGGACCCCCTGGCACAGGTAAGTCGAGTCTGGTTGCTGCCATGGCGAACTATCTGAAATTCGACATTTATGACTTGGAGCTCACAAGTCTTCAAAGCAATGCACAGCTTAAAAGCCTATTGCACTATACTACGAATAGATCGATCCTTGTGATTGAGGATATTGATTGCAGTGTTGACTTGCAGAACCGACAAGATGGAGGTTACAACCAAAGTGAAAGTCAGGTATGACAATAGCTTGAGTCACCATTAGACTAAGAAGTAGTTTTTCTTTTTTCTTTTTCAAATCTTTTCCAGAAAATAATTCGTACAATATTATTCTTAAGGAGACTCAAACCCTCCACCTTCCGCTCAGGAATACAACTAGACAACATGCCTCGGTGACTAAGTAGTAATTGATGAAGAAAAACTTTAAAAGGAAACACCTCTGGTCCCTGAACTTGCTATATGCCCCTACTGTTCCAAAGTATAGCCCTGTCTCAAAGACGGCTGGCTTAGTTAATAGCATTTTTTAGGAGACCTTTCCACAAACCTAGCTAGGTCTTCTTGCTGGCTGATTCAATTTCCTAGCTAACCCTTCTTTTTTTTTTCCCGGAAGTTCAAGCAAACGCACACAAACTCACAATATTGCCTCTAGAGGGACTCGAACTCTCAACCTCCCCTTCCAAGCTACTAGCTATGTGGTAATCTCCTAGCTAACTTTCTCACCTATTAATTGTCGTTTTTTTCCTCGCTGACAGTTGACACTATCCGGGCTGCTTAATTTTATTGATGGGCTATGGTCAAGCTGTGGCGACGAGAGGATTATTGTGTTTACTACCAATCACAAAGACAGGCTTGACCCTGCATTGCTTAGACCAGGTCGCATGGACATGCACATCAACATGTCCTACTGCACTTTTTGTGGGTTCAAGATTCTTGCTTCTAACTACCTTGGTATAACCAACCACTACATGTTTTCTGAAATTGAAAAGCTCGTGACTGAGGTGGAGGTCACCCCGGCACAGGTTGCAGAAGAACTCATGAAAAATGATGAAGCAGACATTGCACTAGGAGGATTAACAGAATTCCTTAAAAGGAAAAGGACAGAATGCGATCAACCAAATGCGGGAGAAAAAGGAACCCATGAAGAAGGAAAAGGAAGTGAAGAAAACAAGAAAAGTGGTGAGAAGAAAGTGAGGAACAACAAGAGAAAGGCTAAAAGAGGAAAAAGGAAATCCCCAAGGTTCTAGGGCTTTGATCATTGCATCCAATAATTCGACACTTCAATAAGTAATAAAAATACTTCCACCATGTCTATTGAACAATTTGTAATAGGAGACTCAGCATCTCTGATTGCCTATATATGGTTGATAGGATAATTAATAAAGGAATAATGATTTTCTCGAAATAAAAATTGAAGGTTGAGAGTTGAAGTCCCTATGAGAGTAAGTTTCAAATTCAACAACCACCACCAAGCCTTTTTTCCCAATTACTTAGGTTGGCTACATGAATCATATGTTTTAATTCCGCTCTAAGGGCATAGCCTCAGTCAAATAACATGCTATCATATCCCCTTTCTAAGCGACTCTACCCGAGTTAATTTCGCTTTTCCACTAATATTACCCTCCATGTGGATTATGTCAATCTTCAAATAGGGGTTCGAGTATGATGAACTCAAATGATCATTTAATTTCATTAGTACTGTTTGACATTCAAAAATAGATTGATTGTCCAAATTATAAAGAACAACTAATATGGCTCTCAAGAAGATTAGAAATACAACAAATCAACCAATTCAATCAACAAGCTTAAGCTTAATTGACCATTTAACGTACTCAGCAATATCCTACACTAGTAAAGATGAACATCAATTTGACAGCTTGAAGAGCTCTCACAACAAGTCCTCTTCATCTTCCACTCTCTCAAACCCAAACCCACAAGATTGATTGCCCACAATTTTCAAATGGGTCATCTCATAATCTCTTCATTTATTTTATTTTTTTTTTTCCAATCTGAACATGAAAAGGGCATATACTCAAATTGATCTATCATCCTCAAACAACCAGTTATATACATCCATGAGAATCCGATCATCATCCTCGACGACGAGCGACCCTCCTCGCTTCTCCGAGTGGATGAGATCGGCGATCAGTAGAGTAAATCACATGAATTTGTTGAGTGCTACATGAGAACAATTACTTGTATATGAATGTATATATGAACCCATCAGAAAGTTAGAGGCGTACCATTATATTGCACCAGCCGAGAGCCTGAGACTAATCGATTATTCACTCGTTGCTCCATTAGCAATTCTCTCTCTTCATCGAGCTCATCGGTTTTGCAGTCGGATGTGTGGCTTGTAATTGACATAGGGCATAATTCATGCCAGTCAAAGTTTTGTTCTGTTATGTCATTCTAGACTTACATGTAGACAACCGAACTGGAGTAAATCGGAGGGTGTAAAAAGGGTAAAATTAAGTTACATAAACTGAAAATGGAATCGTGAAAACAGGAATGCTTTCCTAGTGTGAAGGCGACACCGGCTAAGAAAAATTATGTAACTTAAATTCGAAATGTCCGTAAATTTTAATTTTAAATAATATAAATACAAAAATAACAAGGATGATTCCTACGGTTCATGCTCTCAAATGCAACAATGGTGGTGAAAATCCAAAGCATCTAGGTTTTGTTCACCGCGACCTTACCACTAACGAAGTAATCTTCTTTACCAAACTTGCAAAGAAATCAGAATAGAGAGGGAAAAATATTTGATAATAGAAAGTAATTATTTAGTATTATTGCAATGTGCTCCAATGCATTGAATACATTGTGAGAAATTCTCTGATTCCATCCATCACATTTAATGGGATGTTAAAAACCAACTGTAATATTTATCACAATAGCAATTGAGCTAGTAAAATTGTAATATTTCACACAACTCTTACATGAAAAAGTGAATAAAATAAAAAAAATCTTTTTCAAATTATATTGAAAAGAAAAAAAAAATGTACTACAATGATTACAATCAAGTCTTAAATTCGAGACCTCTTGTAAAAATATATTATTTTTTATTAGCCTCTACAGATTATTTCCTATTAAAAAAAGAGATGTTGGGCTTGAAAGGAGATCCCAAAATTGTTTGGACTTTTCACCCAAATTCATTCTTTCAAGTCCCTCCCACCTAGAGAGAGTGAGATAATGGAAGCCCATTCAACTTTGGAATGGCAAAAGGTACCCCAGTTCGGATTACATCTAGAACTGCTTGTTGGAAGCCAAGAGCCAACCACATGGATTCAGCAATTGACTTGGCACACTGACCAGCCAAATTAACCAAACCAAAATCAGCACCTGCCAATGCCAGAAGTTGAAGACACTCCTCACACTTATTTCTTGCACATATCATCAACGCAGTATCGCCAGAATTTGTTTTTGAGTTGAGATTACAACCAGCATTGATAAATTGTTGGAGAACCTCAGCAAACCCAAGCCGTGCAGCTAAATGAATAGGGCGGAACTCTGTTTTATCATCTGTTTCAACAGGGAACTCTACATTAGCACCACAATTCACAAGCACATTGACTGCTTTAGCGTTGTTACATAGGATGGCATGATGGATGATGGTCCTCCCAAAATGAGGGATGTTAGGGGAGAGGTGGCGTAAGAGCATGCACAAGATAGCACCACTGTCTTCAAAATACTCCACTACACACCAGGTGACACTATAAGGCTCAGCTAGCCCTGCACCCACCCTAAATTCTTCTCCAGTAGCTGTGTCCCATGACCAGGCTCCCAGTCTCACTTTTGCGTCTGTTCTAACACCAGCCTTCTTTACATTATCAAAAGGCAAATGTGATATTAGATTATAGTGTTGTGATTTAGATAAAAACAAAAAATGCTTGTTTAAACAACTTAACAACCAAGCAGAAATCTTTCCATCAGGCTCACATCATTGGTACATAAGTCATATGGAAGGCCCATAAAATTAGGTGTTTGTGAGATGCTAACAGCAGAATTATAAGAGCTGTACTCAAACTGGCGGCCTCACAGTTATCTGATCAAACCGGGCACTGTTCTGGCCCAGCATGTAATCAGTATTGTCCAAGTCTTTGGATTTGTTAAGCATCAGATATATATACACCTGTACATCTTGGGTAGTTTTGGTAATCTTGCACACGGTGTTTACCTGTAGCAGCAATCTGACAACAGAAATCTGCCTGCTAACGATGGCTGCAACGAGCGCATTACAGTCAACATTGGCATGCAGAGACGGCTTGGAAGACCTAAGCAGCACCCGCGCAGTTGCATTAGCATCGACTCCACACTGCCCCAAACAAAGCACAAATGCCATTTGAGATTTCAATTAACGATCTGAGAATTTCAATTAATGAAGTAACAGACAGAATTGGCATCCAATAGGGCAATCTTCATCAAGTCCATTTTGAACCCTTCATCAATTTTGGAGAACAGAGCTTATTAAAGGTAATGTCATATTCCCCCACATTGTACAGAAGTCAAGGTGCCTAGTTACAACATATATTTTTTCAAAATAGTAAATGGTATATTTATTTTCCACAATTGCAACCAAACAAATGGTGCCGATTGCTAGCCTCCAAATAGATGGAAGAGGAGCAGTGAAGTATTATGCCATCTTACTGAGAGGCCACATATCATTGGATCTTTCTAGGCAACAATAATTGGCACCGAAAATCAGAACTTACCACTGAAAATTTTGGTGTATGGTAGGTAGATTAACCTATATTACAATATGTTATGTATTTACCTGTAGCCGGGAAACACTCAGAATAAAATATCCTGCAGAGAAGTAAGTGCTGTTATGAAAATAATTAAATGAAGTTGGGCTTTGGAGACAGCTGAAGTTAGTGCAGAACTTTGCATTTTCAAAACCATAAATAGAGGTAATCAAATAATTGATACTCAAACTCCTAGCCTGATAGCAACTTAAGGGGAAATTAGTTTTGATATGCCTTTGTTTCATCATCACTGTCAGTCCGATTAGACTTAAATACATCACATCAAGGTTGCTCAGTTAAAGTAAGCCTTATCTCTACTATATTGAGTCACTTACACAAATCTTAGTTCACCATTTTCAGTCTTTGGCCTATGTTTTTCATAATTTTCATAGTGATTAAACTCAACTGTATTGGGTCTACAATCATTTTGCGTGCTCGTTTTATGACAGAAAGCCCACATGCAATGATGAAATAGAGATTTACACTAATAATATTAAGTACCTTGATGAGTGTCTCAACAACATCCACAAACCCTCTGCAGGATGCCGTGACAAGAGCATGCACAGCAACATGTGGGCGGATCATGTCGGAACCCATGAGCAGCTCAGCAGGCCTGGTCTGCCCCACATAGCTTGCTTCCAACAAAGCCTCCTCGCATGCTGTCTGAGATGCTCCACCATTCAAAAGCATCTCCAATATCTCAATATGGCCCTCCCTCACTGCCGCTGTCGTAGCATAGCCCCGGAACAGCTTCTGATTCACATTGGCTCCAACACTCTGTCATCATAAAATAGCCAAACAACCACTAATATGAACATGACATCAGGATTATACTGTTTCAGTGAACATTTATATATAACAAATTCTCTACCGCTTTCGGAGCCTGAAATTTTGTATGAGAATTTCCAGTTCATACACTGCTTGTCAAGTGAAGCAATCAATGCAGAGTGAGAACATTTACTATCAGTGAATAATATCTACTGATATCCATAATTTCTCAGGATATCTGTCAGGTTCTGAATTAATTCAGAGGGTCACAAGGATAGAGAGGGAGGCATTATGCACGTACAGACACAGCTCATCAGTCATTTTTGTGCCAGTTCCAAAGCATATTCAGGCACTCCAAAAGATATATACATAAATTGAGGAAAAATTAGAATTTTTATCAAAAAAATCCAGTGAAATAATTGAAGCCTAAAATTCAACAACATCAACAGTGTTCATTCTTGTAAGAAATTACACAATTCTATATAATCTTCACTCAAGAAAACAATAATAAATACAATGACTAACTATTATTATTATTATTATTACTACTACAGAAATGATATGCCATCCAAATTCGGACCAAACCCACACTCACTGTCACAAGGGGCCTATGGGTCCCACCAGAGCTGCTGGCCCCACAGGCCCCTTGTGACTACGGGCATGGTCCGAATTCGGAACGAGTTGTTGTTGTTATTATTAGCTGCAATGACTAATTAACTAATTTCAAATCGTGTAATTATTACTCACTAATGAGAAAACAGTCAAAAATCAATATGACCTTCGTGCAATAACCCCAAGGTTGATTTCAAATTTCAAATCTGTATTAAGCAAAAGTTCTCTGAAGACAATCAAACACATGACAACAACCAAAAAGTCTCTCTCTCAGTGTGTGTATGTGTGTGCGAAATGTTTTCTTATATAGTGACTCCAAATCTAAAATCATTTTCCTTTCTAGTGAATCACACCTGTGATATACGAATACAATAATCTAGAACTCACAGAAATTTCGAAAACTAGAAGATAGACCCTTGAAATTTCAAACACAATCACTGAGAAAAGCTATGAATTTCCTCTCATTATAAGTATTATTTATATAAAATTATTAACAATTCTCGAGACATTCCAATAACGGAAAAAAATGAAAAGAAAAAATCGAAGAAATAAAAAAATAATAAAAATAACTTTGTTTTCACAAAAATAAGCTGACCAGTAATTTTCTGACGAGTGTCAGATTTCCGGCATGAGCTGCGAGGAACAGAGCAGTGACCTCCGTCTTGAACTCTTCGAATTCGAAACGAACTTCGTTGGCCGACTCATCGTGCAAGACAACATCTGTCCTTTTCGTCTTCAAGCACACTGTTCCGATGAAGTTGACGTCGACGAAGGGGTCGGCGACGTACTCGAGGGCCGAGTTGAGGTCGTCGGCGTGGGAAGCGTCGACGAGCCGTTGCGAGACCTCGGCTGCGTAATCGACCGGAAACACTTGCTTTCCGGCGAGGAAGCCGGGAGACGAATTCCGGTATACCGTCATTTTCCGGTGAGTTTGGCCGGTGGGAATGGAGAGAGGTCTCACTGTAAGTATAAGTGGACTTGTGAGAGAAGCTTCAGACAGAGGAAGGCCAAGGCTTTTTAATGGAGGTGGGAGGTGGGTCTAACTACTTTGACTCGGTCGCGTTTAGTCCAAATGGTAAGAAATTACACTGCAATTTGGTTTTAAAACAAGAAAACATTGCATTGTGTGTGTGTGTGTGTGTGTGTGTGTGAGAGAGAGAGAGAGAGAGGAAGGGGGTAGTATTTATTTATTTATGATCAAACTATAATAACTATTACAGATATTTTTATTGCATTTATTTCGTTCTTAAAAATTAATTGGAGATTATTCTCAAAATTAATTGGGGATTATTTTTGTTTTTATCTCATACTAATAGCTACTGAAATTAGTTGTGGGCTATACTTTGAAATTGGAGATCGAAAAAATTAGTTTGAA